GAGGAGTGCTGGGCAGAGACGGGCTCCACCTTACGAAGAGAGGGAAGAGCATCTTTGCGAGCAGGCTGGCTAACCTAGTGAGGAGGGCTTTAAACTAGGTTCACCGGGGGAAGGAGACCAAAGCCCTGAGGTAAGTGGGAAAGCGAGGTACCGGGAGGAAGCACAGGCAGGAATGCCTGTGAGGGGAGGGCTCCTGCCTCATACTGAGAATGAGGGGCGATCAACAGGTTATCTCAAGTGCTTATATACGAATGCACAAAGCCTTGGAAACAAGCAGGGAGAACTGGAGGTCCTGGTGATGTCAAGGAATTATGATGTGATTGGAATAACAGAGACTTGGTGGGATAACTCACATGACTGGAGTACTGTCATGGATGGTTATAAACTGTTCAGGAAGGACAGGCAGGGCAGAAAAGGTGGGGGAGTAGCACTGTATGTAAGGGAGCAGTATGACTGCTCAGAGCTCCAGTACGAAACTGCAGAAAAACCTGAGTGTCTCTGGATTAAGTTTAGAAGTGTGTGCAACAAGAGTGATGTAGTGGTGGGAGTCTGCTATAGACCACCGGACCAGGGGGATGAGGTAGATGAGGCTTTCTTCCGGCAGCTCACGGAAGCTACTAGATCGCATGCCCTGATTCTCATGGGTGACTTTAATTTTCCTGATATCTGCTGGGAGAGCAATACAGCGGTGCATAGACAATCCAGGAAGTTTTTGGAAAGCGTAGGGGACAATTTCCTGGCGCAAGTGCTAGAGGAGCCAACTAGGGGGGTGCTTTTCTTGACCTGCTGCTCACAAACCGGGAAGAATTAGTAGGGGAAGCAAAAGTGGATGGGAATCTGGGAGGCAGTGACCATGAGTTGGTTGAGTTCAGGATCCTGACGCAGGGAAGAAAGGTAAGCAGCAGGATACGGACCCTGGACTTCAGGAAAGCAGACTTCGACTCCCTCAGGGAACGGATGGCCAGGATCCCATGGGGGACTAACATGAAGGGGAAAGGAGTCCAGGAGAGCTGGCTGTATTTCAAGGAATCCCTGTTGAGGTTACAGGGACAAACCATCCCGATGAGTCGAAAGAATAGGAAATATGGCAGGCGACCAGCTTGGCTTAATGGTGAAATCCTAGCGGATCTTAAACATAAAAAAGAAGCTTACAAGAAGTGTAAGTTTGGACATATGACCAGGGAAGAGTATAAAAATATTGCTCGGGCATGTAGGAATGATATCAGGAGGGCCAAATCGCACCTGGAGCTGCAGCTAGCCAGAGATGTCAAGAGTAACAAGAAGGGTTTCTTCAGGTATGTTGGCAACAAGAAGAAAGCCAAGGAAAGTGTGGGCCCCTTACTGAATGAGGGAGGCAACCTAGTGACAGAGGATGTGGAAAAAGCTAATGTACTCAATGGTTTTTTTGCCTCTGTCTTCACTAATAAGGTCAGCTCCCAGACTGCTACGCTGGGCATCACAAAATGGGGAAGAGATGGCCAGCCCTCTGTGGAGATAGAGGTGGTTAGGGACTTTTTAGAAAAGCTGGACGTGCACAAGTCCATGGGGCCGGACGAGTTGCATCCGAGAGTGCTGAAGGAATTGGCGGCTGTGATTGCAGAGCCATTGGCCATTATCTTTGAAAACTCGTGGCGAACGGGGGAAGTCCCGGATGACTGGAAAAAGGCTAATGTAGTGCCAATCTTTAAAAAAGGGAAGAAGGAGGATCCTGGGAACTACAGGCCAGTCAGCCTCACCTCAGTCCCTGGAAAAATCATGGAGCAGGTCCTCAAAGAATCAATCCTGAAGCACTTGCATGAGAGGAAAGTGATCAGGAACAGCCAGCATGGATTCACCAAGGGAAGGTCATGCCTGACTAATCTAATCGCCTTTTATGATGAGATTACTGGTTCTGTGGATGAAGGGAAAGCAGTGGATGTATTGTTTCTTGACTTTAGCAAAGCTTTTGACACGGTCTCCCACAGTATTCTTGTCAGCAAGTTAAGGAAGTATGGGCTGGATGAATGCACTATAAGGTGGGTAGAAAGCTGGCTAGATTGTCGGGCTCAACGGGTAGTGATCAATGGCTCCATGTCTAGTTGGCAGCCGGTGTCAAGTGGAGTGCCCCAGGGGTCGGTCCTGGGGCCGGTTTTGTTCAATATCTTCATAAATGATCTGGAGGATGGTGTAGATTGCACTCTCAGCAAATTTGCGGATGATACTAAACTGGGAGGAGTAGTAGATACGCTGGAGGGGAGGGATAGGATACAGAAGGACCTAGACAAATTGGAGGATTGGGCCAGAAGAAATCTGATGAGGTTCAATAAGGATAAGTTCAGGGTCCTGCACTTAGGACGGAAGAACCCAATGCACAGCTACAGACTAGGGGCCGAATGGCTAGGCAGCAGTTCTGCGGAAAAGGACCTAGGGGTGACAGTGGACAAGAAGCTGGATATGAGTCAGCAATGTGCCCTTGTTGCCAAGAAGGCCAATGGCATTTTGGGCTGTATAAGTAGGGGCATAGTGAGCAGATCGAGGGACGTGATCGTTCCCCTCTATTCAACATTGGTGAGGCCTCATCTGGAGTACTGTGTCCAGTTTTGGGCCCCACACTACAAGAAGGATGTGGATAAATTGGAGAGAGTCCAGCGAAGGGCAACAAAAATGATTAGGGGTCTGGAGCACATGACTGATGAGGAGAGGCTGAGGGAGCTGGGATTGTTTAGCCTGCAGAAGAGAAGAATGAGGGGGGATTTGATAGCTGCTTTCAACTACCTGAAAGGGGGTTCCAAAGAGGATGGCTCTAGACTGTTCTCAATGGTAGCAGATGACAGAACGAGGAGTAATGGTCTCAAGCTGCAGTGGGGGAGGTTTAGGTTGGATATTAGGAAAAACTTTTTCACTATGAGGGTGGTGAAACACTGGAATGCGTTACCTAGGGAGGTGGTGGAATCTCCTTCCTTAGAGGTTTTTAAGGTCAGGCTTGACAAAGCCCTGGCTGGGATGATTTAACTGGGAATTGGTCCTGCTTCGAGCAGGGGGGTTGGACTAGATGACCTTCTGGGGTCCCTTCCAACCCTGATATTCTATGATTCTATGATTCCAGTGCCCACCCTCCTCCAACCCCTCCATCCCTGTGCTGGGCCCAGGGGGAGTCTGTGCAGTGCACCCGAACCAACACTGGACCCAGAGGTAGCCCATGAGGGGGTGCGAAAGCCGAACCAGAATAAAATGATTGTTACCGTCTGGTGTCTGCTTAGTTATGGGGGACTGGGAGGACCATCACTGCACGGGCTGGGTTCCCAGGTTCCCACGGGCTGCAGCATTGGGATCCGTGGCTGTAAAGCAGCGAGACTGAGCTTCCACAGGGCCACTGCCCATCGCTCAGCAGAAATACTAGATGTGAGTCAGACCAATTTGATTGGAACGTTTCTGACGTCGGAGTCGCCCGATTCTCCGGGGCTGGCTGCCAGCTTGGAGCTTACAGCTGTGCAGCAAACCGTGAGGACTGGCAGGGCTGGGTTCATTCAGCACACGCACCATGGTCGGTCACATGTTGTGAAGTACAGGCCCTCGCTTCCTCGACATCATAGAATATCAGGGTTGGAAGGGACCTCAGGAGGTCATCTAGTCCAACCCCCTGCTCAAAGCAGGACCAATCCCCAATTTTTGCCCTGATTCCTAAATGGCCCCCTCAAGGATTGAACTCGCAACCCTGGGTTTAGCAGGCCAATGCTCAAACCACTGAGCTATCCCTCCCTCCCCAATCATTCGGATTGTTTGTACGGAAACCAGGCTCGGTGTTCGTGTGTGTTCCTTTAGCACCCAGAGGCCCCCGTCGTGCCGGGCGTTGCACAGATGCACAGCGAGCGATAGTCCCTGCCCTGAAGAGCTAACGAACAGGAAGGATTATTATCCCTTACAGACCGATAGTTAGATAGATAGATAGACTAACACGGCTGTTACTCTGAGACGGATAGTTGAGGCCCAAAGAGAGGCAGTGACTGGCCCACGGTCGCCCAGGGAATCTGTGGCAGAGCTGGGGGTTGAATCCGGGTTTCCCACAGGCCAGTCCTGTGCGTTGACCCCCAAACCGTCCGTCCCCAGCAGGAGCGAGCCATGCACATGTGTAGACTGACGCAGGAGGTGGGTTACTGGCCGCTTTGCCTGCCCTGGCTCTGAGGGACGGCATTCCCCAGCGCTGCAAACAGGTGTGACCACCCCAGATTGGCTGACACGCCGGGGACTGAACTGGGTACTTCCAGGGCTAAAAGGTATGACCCACCGCTCCTTGAGCTAGAGTCAGGCTTATGGGTCACTACCTGTCATACTCTTCAGTACTCTGCGGCTGGGCTCAGCTGGAGGGGCTGAGCAGTGGGTTACACTGGGTGTCTGGACCGAAGAACATGCAGGATGTATTTACCCCACTTCTCCTCCCCTCTCTCCCTCCAATGACTTCCAGGTGTCCTTCCTGCTGAGGGTTACACTCCCTTCTCCCCCTGCATCAATTGGGAGGGCAGCCGTGGTGTTCAGTAAACAGCCAGCGCTTGCGGGACACTGGCTTTATGCAGGTTTTGGAGGGGCAGCCGTGTTAGTCTGTATCAGCAAAAACAGCGAGGAGGCCTTGTCGCACCTTAGAGACTGACACATTTATTTGAGCATAAGCTTTCGTGGGCTAAAACCCACTTCATCAGGTTGCCACAAGGACTCCTCGTTCTTTTGGCTTTATTCAGTGACCATGACCTTCTAGGGATCAGCTCTGCACAGTCTGAGAACTGCTTCCACTCAGCTCGTGCCAGGCCCTTTAAAGAGACACTTCCCCACAGCAATGTCTGCAAAGTGACTTTGCCCAGTCACTCTGCTCTCTGTGCAGGGCTCATTCTCCCCCATGTCCACCGTGCTGGGGGACATCTGCAGGCGCCCCATCGTAGCAAGGAGCCGGGGGGAGGCTTTTAGGTGCACAGGGAAAGTGATCAGTGTGGGGGTTGCATGTCACTCAAGTCTCGCTCAATGAAAGGGTGATGGGAATACCCCGCTGTGCCCTGGTGCTGTGTTTGCAGCCCAATGAAGTAAACATGGTGAGAGTTGAGTCCTCTTTAGAACCCAATCTGAGCTGCCCTCTACAAACATGGGCAGCAGATATCTACCTCCACATCCGTGGCTGCCAAGTGGGAATCCCCGGCCATCATGTGGCTATCTGAAGACTTGCAGGGCTCTAGTCATCTTACCAGAAACTTGGGTCTTGTAATAAACGGGCTTGGCAGGCAGCCCAGACTTCAGTGTATATACCCAGCTTCTTCTTTAATTCTCCTCCTTCTCATCTCGCTGTCCGGCGCTCCGCTGCGCAGGTGCTGCTGAGTGTCCTCTGCTTTCCAACAGCCCGACACAGCCCCGGGCGTCTCCACCAAAGTAAGATGCACGTTTTATTGCAATAGAGAAAAAGGGAGCGATTCTCCGGTTGTTGCTGCGTGTCCGACTGAGCTGCCATCAGAGGTACGTCAAGGAACCTGGCTTGCAGCCCACTTCCACTGTACAGCTCTCATACATTGCGTGACTTAGAAAGTATTATAATTAAGATAAGTAAATCCTGAAGAAATGGCTAAACGGAAGCCTGTTCCCAATGTGGAAACTCATTAGGCTCCCAAGGGGTTGCTGTGAGAGGAAATCTCCCATTTATGAAGTGACAGATTGAGCACGATAAAGAAGCCCAGACCACTGCTTCTGGCAGGATGCCTGATTCTCTTGCAGGGCACTTGCTCAGGGCTGTGGGCGCTGATGTACCCAGCTGGGCCCTGGCGTCCCTGTTAAAGCTGGGAGGGGTGAGACTGGCTGCTGCATGCAGGGAGAGGGAGATTTTGTTGGTAGTTGAAGATCTATTTCTAAATCAGGTGCGAGGTGCAGTGTTTGAAATGGGGGAAGGGGGAATCATCCAAATCCAGCTGCATGGATTATAAAGTTTTTTGCTGTGGAGAGGCATTCTCTCCCTGCACCGTCTCACCTCTGCTACTCACACGCATTCCAGGTGGCAGTCAGTATTTCACGTCCTAGAGGCCAAGCCCCTTGTAAGTACCCTACAGACTAGATCCCCTCCCCACCACAACACATCGATCCAGCATGTGGGTGGGTGGGTCTCTGTGCGGTGCGTGCCTTCTTATGGCTGGGAGATGAGAGGAGTTGGTTTAGGAAGCAGGCAAGGTGCGCCCCTCTTTCTGTCTGCCTCTTTTCCTGTCCTGCAATAATTGTATCAGGCCAGGAAGTTTGAGAACGAATGTGGCAACTCATATGGGGTCCTTTGTCAGGGCTTGATCCAAGGTGTGCGATCCAAAAAGCTTCCCTTTCCTTATTCTATTACATTGACAAGTGTGGGCAGGTGTTAAGTTAACATGTTCCTGCCACATCATGCAGAGGGCAAATAATCTCGGTCTCATCTCTAGGGATTGTCATTCCCACCGCATACCCCCGTCCGCAATCTCACGACTGGCGTTTTTATTCTCTGAGATGCTTTGATCTCAATCAGAGGAGTGCTCATCTTTTCATCAGTTAACATCTTCCTGTTTTCCCGTATCCTCACCCGTTGTCATTCCCACCCGAGTTTCTAGTTGTCCAGTTCTGGCCAGATCATCAGCGATCTCACTCGGGTGTTGGAATCCATTGAACTGTCAATCTATTGCCTTACTTTCACATCCTCTGAGCCTGCTTATGAACTGCATTCTCAATCCATCTCCTTGCAATGACTTCTCCTTTAGGGTGAGAGCCACCCCTGGACAGAGAGCCCCTGAGTGAATCTCTCTTCATGCTCTGTACAGTGCTGCCCTCTCTAGCAGGAGTCCTGGGGCTTCTCTTTCTTTCCCCCTTTGCCCAGAAGTTGTTACACCCACATACATTTTTGATTCAATAATTAAAATGCAACTAAATGGTTCCTAACTGAATGAGTCAGATGCACAGAATCAGCAGCTCAGTCTCTTTCGGGAGTGGGGTGGGCGGCAATGTCTGCAGGGTGAATTTTCTCCAATCAGTTTGCTGTCTGGCAGGGCTCCCCTACACCATGTCCCTGATGGTGGAGGTGTCAGCAGGGCCGCACCCCCGATAGTTGGAACATAAGGGAAGGGGTTTAACGTGCCTTGGCCAGGAGATTGAGGGCGATTTTGTCAGTGAAGGTGAGGCAGGAATATACTTTGAGGTCAGGTCATTTGGAAGTCACATAGCACTAATGCCTCGTAACATTTCAAGCCACCGAGGGCATGGTTGGAAGTCCAAAGAGTTGCAGATCGCTGGAGGGTGAGTCATTCGCAATGTGTAATAACCAGACATCCCTCAAATCCCACATAAGGCCTTGAAGTGGGATTTAAGTGTTGCCTAGCCCTTGCCCAGCTTAAATTTCATCCTGAGTGAAGATCCCAGTCGCAGGATTCTGGCACTTGTCTTTCCCTCTTAGCCAAGAGCCCTTTACACTGACACTTTGGATTCAAGAATTAGAATGCAGCGAAATGATTCCTGAGTGAAGGAGTGGCCTGCAGAGCTCCAGCACCTCAGTTCCTTGGCATCTTTTTCTTATTTAGAGGAAGGATCACCTAGTGGTTAGGGCACTAGCTAGGCCTTGGGACACCCAGCTTCAATCCCCTGCTCCACCACAGACTTCTTGAGTGACCTTGGGCAAGTCACTTAGCCTCTCCGTGGCTCAGTTTCCCCATCTGATGGGTAACAGCATTTCCCTATCTCACAGGGATGTTGGGAGGGTCAGTACTTGTTAAGCACTTGGGATCTATTAATGAAAAGCACTAGATAAGAAATGGGTGTTATGTTGTTAGAGATGTGTTAATTTTTATTATTAATTATTATTATTATTTATTTCTATGGCTGTAGCACCCAAAGGCCCAAATGGGGGTGCAGGGTGCCCTTTGTGCTGCGCACTGTCAAACAGATTATAGAGTTGAATTGATCCTGCCCCACTGAAGTCCATGTGAGTTTTATAAGGGCTCGTCTACACAGGAAATTGACAGCAGTAGCTATTCTGGACAGCATATGGACACTCTCTTCTGGAACAAAAGTCACCTTATTCTGGAATAATTAGTGCAAAATCCCAAGTAGAGTAATTCTTCTGGAATAAAATCCTTTTTTTATTCCACAGTACCGTCTGCCAGCGGAACTGGTCTGAAATAGCGTATTCTGAAATGGTAATTCTGGTCAATTTCCCCATGTAGCCAAGCGCTGAGTGTTGAAAAGCGTAGCTGAGTCACAGAGAAGCTGTTGGCAGTGACTGAGCTGGGAGAGATAGTTTACAGCTGTGATGTAACACGCACCACAATTATCCATGGTTCGCCTCACAGGAGCTTGGAAGTTTACAGACATAGGTATCTGCTGCCGGGGCTGCTCCAGCAGTAGGAAGCTCAGCCGAATTTGACTGAGTGACACAATTACACAGCCATCTATGGTGTGTTTAAGTGGGCGTAGTGAGCTCTGAAATACACTCCTGCCTCCTAGGGTCTTTCTCTAGGAGCCAGATCACTATTAATTTATAGTTCAGTAGCATGTGGTCAGGGATCAGGGCCCCCAAATTCAAGTATGACTGCCACATCCAAAGAAGGGGTGGGGTTTATTTCCTGTTATCTGGTGGTTACAATAACAGAGCCATCATGAAATAGCTACAAGAAGGGGACAAAGAGTCCCCATGTATTTGTGGGTTATGCTCTGATTTTGGTGACTGTCTGGCTCTTATTCTGCACTCTTCATTTAATTAATGGAAAACTTCTTTATGCTCTAGTTTTCTTTCACTCAAGTGTGCTCTGACTTGGACAGAATGGGGAACAGCTTCAGGAAGCCCAGGCACAATGAAGAGCAGGTGGGAGATATGCTACACAATGTTTCCAATCAGGTGCTGACAGAGCAGCCTCGAGGTATATTTGTCTTCTGTTTGCTCTTGTTCTTAACCAGTTTCCTAGGGAGCCATCTCAGCATAGTCTGGTGACACTGTAACCCACTGGTTCTCGTTCTCCCTTAGTAGCACTAGAGGATAACAACTTACAACTTCTGTAAGCTAATTAAGTTTTTTCCATTAGTTCAATTAAGAGCATTCCAGGCTTTCTAGTGTAGTAGGGTCCCTGGTTTAAACCCTGCTAGTGATCCATGCTGGTAGATTTCAGAGTGAATTTGTGTGGGGGGGTGGAGGGTGAGAAAACCTGGATTTGTGCTGGAAATGGCCCACCTGTTGATCACTTTAGATAAGCTATTACCAGCAGGACAGTGGGGTGGGAGGAGGTATTGTTTCATATTCTCTGTGTGTATATAAAGTCTGCTGCAGTTTCCACGGTATGCATCCGATGAAGTGAGCTGTAGCTCACGAAAGCTCATGCTCAAATAAATTGGTTAGTCTCTAAGGTGCCACAAGTACTCCTTTTCTTCATGCTGGTAGAGTGAGTGTTACATTCTTTACCCCATCACTGGAGGATAACAGCCTACAGTTGCTGCTGTCTTGTGGGTTTAATTCTTTAACTCAAGTAGTCGAAACAGCCGCTTTTAGAGCTAAAGGTCCTGGGTTAAAACCCTGCTGTTGGGAGTGGGTGTCACATCCCCCACCCCAGAAGCTGGTCTACTAGAGGATAATAACCTACTACTGCTGCCATCCATTGGAGTTACTTCTTTAGCTCAAGTGGTAGAGGCCAATGTTCTCAGTGTTGTAGGTCATGGGGCTCAACCCCTGCTACAGACACAGGTCAGGGGGAGTCATTTCAGCCCCTTCCATCCTGCCGCATCAACTTCATTTTAAAAGCTGCACAAAAGTGAGGGTGGAGCAAAACCTGCGCTTATTGGGCCAGATCCTGGACCCCCCCTTCTAGCTGCTAGATGGTGCAAACCTACCCAAAGTGGGCAGCTGGGAGTTTAGCTTGTGGAGCTGCTCCTAGTCGTCTGCCAACAAGGGAGGGGAGGCTGCCAGAGGCAGGAAGGGGTGGGGCTGGAGCACAGTATACTCCAGAGACCCTATTCCAGTGAAGTGGCCATAGGGACTGCTACTTCCAGCGTAACTTAAAGCTCCTTGAGGGTCAATGCAGTCAGATCCCCAACTGGTGTGAATCGGGCGTCGCTCCCCTGGAGTCAAAGTGTCACGCTCTCACTTTCTAAGAAAAACTGCCTCTTCCCTTCACGCATTTCCCTTCCCCGGTTCTTGTCAAAAGGCCAAGAGACAATGAAATGTGCATGACTCGTGTCACAGAAAAAAAGACAAGCCCTCAAAAACTTGCAAATAGGAAATTCTCACAATTTCAGTAGCCACAGGGTCAGCCAGGATGAAAACCAGAAATCTGGTATGTCTGTCATCTACCCACTGAGCCAAACTACCCGTGAAGCTTGTCAGTCCTATATATGTGCCAGTTTTCCTCTGTGTCTTCAGCCTTGCGTCTCTTTTCAGCGTGGTCTATCTAATTTTCTAGTTCCTTTTACACGGTTCCATTGCCATAGCATTCAAGTATCTCACAGATGCTTTCTCGCTGAGTGATCTATCTAGGCAGCTTACGTATTGTATGTGGCCTCCTGCTAATGTAGTATCATGGCTCCTTACAATTGTCACTGTATTGATCCTCACAACCCCGCTGTGAGGTTAAGGAAGTTACACGTGGGGAACTGAGGCCAAGGGAGACAAGGGGCCAGATCCACCTAGGGACTTAAGCGTTGCAAAGCGGAGCGTCGTATCGCCCCACTTTTAGGTGCCTAGAAAAATCACTGGGATCTGCCAAGCCTGGGTTAGGAGCCTCGGCTTCCTGTACAATGCATGGGGGGAGAGGGGCACCTCAGAATGGGACCCACAAAAGACAGCCCATTAGACAGGGAGACACCTAAGCTAGCCCATGGAAGATGCTGAGCAGGGGCGTGTCTCCAGTCCTGCCCCCTCACGGAGTTCAACATCTAGGCCAGGTTGTCAGGAGGTGCCTCTCTCTGCTAGCGATCCACAGCTGGGGGCCCCTCTCCTGGCGCCAGGTGGCTGGGGTGCCCAAGTTGTTTTTGATACTCACCTGGAATGTGGGAGACTCCCCTTCAAATCCTCCTCTGGCTGATTTGAACAGGGATCTGCTGCCTATCAGGTGAGGGCCTAACCACGGGGCTAAGGAGTCCCTCTCACATGGTCTCTGACCCATTTAAGGGTTCAATTATTTAAAAATGAACAATGTCACCAAGCGAGATGTGCATCAGAATATCCCATCGCTCAATGGGTTGGGAACCCACTGGAGAGGTAGCTGAGCCCTGTTCAAATCCCTTTGTGGGGGAACGTGTACCGGGGTCCCCTATATGCTAGGTGAGTATCTTAACCACTCGGCTAAAGAGAGGTCTTCTTCCGCTAGGTGGCCTCTGAGCACACGTACTGGATCAGACAAGTTAGGCGGAGGGGCGCTGGTCGTTCCTCTGGTTTTGAATCACTCTGGAGTTTAGGCATGAGTTAGGTGTCTGGGTGCCTAGACTGACAGTGCCCATTCCCATAGGCAGAAACACAGACACTTACCCTAGGTGCTGAATTAGTTTAGGCATCTGCAGGGTTAGACGCAGCAGAGCAGGGGTTTTGTGCATCACAGCAGTACCTGAACCTTGGATTTAGGTGCCTAATCCCAGATTAAGGCAGCTACGTCACTTTGTGGATCCTGACTGAAGTGACTGGGCTAGCCGGACCCTGCGTCTGATCCAGGATGGCTATTTCTATGTTCAAAGGTGCTGATACCCTCCTTGGCCTCAGTGGGAGCCCAGACTGCTGGAAATCAGCTTCTTGTTTAGATGCCTGACTGTGGATACTGGAGTCTGGTTTAAGCATCCAAGTTTGAAAACTTTGGCCTGAAATCAGCAAACAGAATAAGCCATCCTTTCCAAATTCTACCGCTCCGGTCACCTTCCTGGCCTACCATTCTGACCCCGTCATCCTCGCTAGCCACTGCCTCTGTTCTGTAGCCAAGCTCTTAATATCTGTGATGATCCAAAGTTTGATCCCTCATCGTCTCTTCCCGAATGGCACAGGGAATGTAAACAGCTGCTTTAATTTTTCAGCTCAGCCTCTGGCCGGGGCCAAGAACTGGTTTCGATTCGCCATCGGATTCATGGCAGTTCTGAGCATCATCATTTCCCTAGCTGTAGCTTTGGCAGGTGAGTTCTCCACCCCTGGCTCTTTGCTCCGGTTCCCCTGCAGCTCTGTCTCACTCATGATCTCCGGTCTGATTACAAGCACTGGCTCAGCTTCTCTCTGATTATTTCTGGGGCTCCCAACACCTTGGAGTGGCTATCACCCTGCTTTTCTGCAGGGCTCTCCCTACATTAAACTCCCCCAGTCACTCCCATAGCAGAATGCATGTCACCTGCACATGCCAGGTTCTCAGTTGGCATTAATCGGGGTAGCTTCCTTGACACTGGGAGGCAGTGTGGCCTAGTAAATAGGGCACTGGACTGGGACACAGGAGACTTGGGTTTTATTCTTGGCTCTGCCACTAGCCAGCTGGTGACCTTGAGCAAGTCACTTCATGCCTGTGTACCTCAGTTTTCCCATTTGTAAAATGGGGATCCTGATCTCCCTTTGCAAAGTGCTTTGAGCTGTGTGAATGAAAAGTGTTTAGAAGAGCGAGATATTATTATTATTCAGTGGCACTCGGCTGCTTGACTGAGGGGCTGGCCCTTTGTCTATAGAACATGCTCCATTAAGCAATGCAAAAACCTATAACAACACAACCTCCAGGCTGAAAAGTTAAAGAAACGGGTCATAAATAAAGGCATGAGCAGGGCTTAAATTCAGCCTGAGCTGTCCAGAGTGGAGCTCTGATAAATATTTTCAAAGGCTCGAGCCCGGTGCCCTCTGTGGGCCAGAAGCCCAGAGCCTCAGGAAATACAGTATGAGAATTTAAACCCTGGGCATGAGACAACTGAGCTATGACTCTCATGATCCCATTCTCTTCTGTGGCCCAGATTACATCTCCCATGATAGATCATTGCCAGGGACTCCCATGATGCACTTCCACCCTTCTCCAAAAGGGGAAAAAAAACCATGATGAGATCATGGGAAATATAGTCCAACCAGGGAGCCTGGCCTATAGAGGAGAATGGGAGAATGAGGCACCTGGACTACAACTCCTATGAGGCACTGTGGTGGCATATTTGTCTTTTTGCTGAGTTTCTCACTATTCCAATTTTCACCAAAAATATCAATGAATTTCCACAGGGGGGAATTGCTGACCAATTTAACTAGAGAAGGCTGGTGTAAATCAACATAGCTCTGTTTACATTGCTAGCTTGCATCAGCTGAGGATCTGAAACCAAACCTTTAAGAGAGACCAATCCAATCTCCAGGCAAATGATGGAGAATCTGCCCCCGTCCCATAGGGAGTTACTCTGATGGTCACTCTCCCTGACTGTTAAAAAGTTGCATTTTATTTCCAGCTTGACTGGAAATATCAGCCCATCTCAGGTCATTCTGACGCTCTCATAGCCCCAACTCTGACCAGAAAATCACTTCCCCGGCCCTTTAGCTCCCTCCCCTTTGGCTGCTTTGCTGGACTGAAAGGGTTAAATTTGGGTTCATTTTGTTCTCCTTTTACTGCTTTCCTAGCAGATGAAGGAAACATCGAGGTGAGTCGAGTTTTCACAGTTCTCAGCTAGTTGGTACATTACACAGCTTTGCTCAGTATAACTGCCCAGGCTCAGACACCTGTGATCTGGCCATTCCACATCAGGGTATAAGGGGAACATGGGACTATCTCCCATCCATCTCATGCACAAGTCACAAGGCAGTGAAATTCCTGCTGCTTTACCTGTCCAGGCTTCTTGCACCTCTTCTCGGCCAGAGAGTGCAGTCAAGAGGGGCTGGTAGACGAATCCATGCTTAATCTCAGAGGCATTAGCCTGCAGGGGTGATGTGATAAATGGTTGGGCTGTGACCAGGCCCTGTGAATCCTCTTTGTTTGGGGTGGAGAATGGTGTGGTTGTGATCTTCCGACATAGTCTGCTATGAGCTACAATCCAGAATAACTCCATGCGGTTCCGCGGAGTGACTCTGGATTTACACCAGGATAACAGATCAGAATCTGTCCCAGGCATCATTGACTTCGGTGGGATCACTCTACATTTACATCAGCGTCACTGAGATCAGAATCCACACCTGGATCCACGGACTCCGGTTTTCCCTCCAAGTCAATGAGATCAGAATCCAGTCCTGACGCCAGCGGTTAGACCCGCAGTTCCGGTAGCTTCTTTCTTGTATCTTGAGTGACACAGAGTGGTTGATTCTATGAGCTACAGGTGCTGATGCCCTGCTGCTGGGGCAGTACCCCAGGCCCTGATTTCCTATATAAACATGGGTAATTGAATCTGCTTTGGGATCAGTTTTATCTGCAGTATCGATCACTTTAATTTCAAATGCCAACTTTCCTGCCTGTAACTCGGAGCAACAAGTGCAGTTTACAAGATGGGCTTGGACTCAGAAGAAGTGGGGTCTGTTCTCAGCTCTGACAGTCTGCTGGGTGACCTTGGGCCAGTCACTTCCCCGCCATGTGACTCAGTTTTCCCATCTGTAAAATGGGAATAATGGCACTGAATTTCTTTATAAGGAGCCTTGAGATCTACAGATGAAGTGCTGGGTAAGAGCTAGGATTATTCCTAGAAACACATGTCTGTATGTGTGTGTGTGTGGGGGGCAATTAAAACAGACAGTGGGGAGCGGAGAATGCCTAACCACTCTGCTATTTGCTTTCAGTAGTAGCCTCCAAGCATCATTCCTCTCCTCTGGACCTTCCTGCTGCCGCGTGCCCAGATGACTGGATTGGCTACCGAGGAAAATGCTACCTTTTCTCAAAGGCTCACGGGACCTGGAACGAAGGCCAGAGCACCTGCTCTTCACTCAATGCCTCCCTGGCTGTGATTGACACCCAGCAAGACCTGGTAAGGCAGAGATCCGGCTTCTTTGTGGGATGCAGTTAGGCAGATGTGGCAGAGCAGACAATGATGGAATGAGGCCTGTCCTGCTCTGGGGAACCGGTGCTGGGAGCTCAGACAATGAAAGCTGAGGGTTAGATGATTTCCTGGATCACATAACAGTTCTCCCTTTGTCTACTTAGACTGTGAGCTCTTCGGGGTAGGACTATCTCTCCCTGGGTGTCTGGGCAGCACCCGGCACAACGGGGCCGTGATCTCGGCTGGGGCAGGGACTGTCACTGTGTGTCTATGCAACACCCAGTGGGACCCCAATATTAGTTGGGGCTACCGCCATACACAAATAATAGATTCCCATAGTTTATGTTCAAGGTTATTATGAATCAGCTCCTTAAGCGTGCCTGACACATTGATCTGCCCACAGTCCAGATTTGGGTCAGTTCTGATCTCTCCCAGCAAGGAATTCTACAGCTGAGGTCAGGGCACTGGTCCCAGTCTGTGTCTGTCCAGCTGTCTTGGAGAGTGGAGCAGCCTCCAGGGAAGGGCTTTGTAGGCAAGGCCCGGAGGCCTGATTCCCCATTAGCATCTTGTAGAGGCTCTGCACCCAGCCCCACCAGCTCCACCTTGCAGGGAGATTCTCAAGGGGCTGTCCGTACCTGCTTTAAGGGACCCTCATGCTGCCCAGTGTGGCCTGAGCGTAACTGACAATTAGATCCCAGGAGGACTTTCCTTTTCTCCTTCAGTGAATGACGAGTTTGCTGTCCCCAGTGTGCTGTGAGAGTCATCCCGGACATTTCTCCCTTTGTTGGTTTTAAAGGATTTCCTGCAGCAACATAAAGGCTCCCCTGCATGCTGGATCGGCCTCTGGAGGAGGGACCCGGCCCAGCCCTGGAAATGGGTGGATGGTACAGAATTCAACAACCGCCTGTGAGTGCTTTCTGCTAAAAGCCCGCTCACGGTTGAGTCAGAAGTTAGGGCTCTCATCTGGTAGAGCTGACAATCCTTTCCTCCAGGGGTGTCTCCTTCATTTTGTGCAGAGGGTCCGAGCCCTTCTCTGAGCACAGCCCGTGGGGCACACATTTTGCAATCTCGTTCTCTGGACACTTGTAAATCAATTGTGGCGCCTTGTGTGGGAAGATATGGCCCCGTGTAACAACACCCTGGCTGGGAGTGAGCTGCGGATCTCTGGCTGTAAATCACAAGTCTCTACAGCTCAAGCTGAAGAAGGCTGTTAAAAGGCAGGAGCAGACTTATAAGCCTTTCACTGGGTCCCGCTCCTAGCGAGGGATAAAAACCTGCACTGGGCAAGTCCCATTTCCCCCTGCACTCCATGCAGTGATTTCACACCAGGGAAAACCGGTTGTAAAATGCTTCCATGCTGATTCAGCCACTTTCCAGTGGTGAAAATGACCATGCAAGGGGCAGGGCCACATAGAATGGGCCTGAAGCCCTTTACAGATTGAGCTGGGTGAAACTTTTGGGCTCAAACCATTTAGGAACACAGCAATGTTTGGCCCTGTCACGTTCACTAGATTGCTCATTGAAGGGGAAAAAAAACCTAAAAAAAAAAAAAAATCAAAATGTTCTGGTTTCAAACAAATTTTCCTTGCAAAATGTCCTTTAATTTTATTTTTTTTTCAAATTCAAAACTTTAAAAAACTAGCTGCCAGCCACATAAAACATTTCAATTTTTGTCAAAACGAAACATTGTTTGACCCAAAGTGAGGTTTTCTTTTATTTTATGAAATTGCTAAAGTACCCGAAAATCTGTTAATTTACCCCCTTTATGGGTCTGAATGGTTCTTGCGCTGATAAATATCCCTAGTGTAGAAAAGGCTTCTGTGACAGTCTCTCATGGGAAAATCTGTTAAGCGTGGATCAGTGCTCTAGCCTGAACAGAGGTTCCCTGAATCCAGCCTCATGCCTTACCCAGAAGGCCATTCTCTCCAGCACAGCTGCTTAGATTTTCCCAGAATGCACCGTTACAGGTCAGGCTGTGCTGTGGGAGTGTCCATGCAAATATAGTGACACATGGTCTGTGAACACCATTAAACCGGGTCAGTTATAACCAGCTCTGATGAGAGAACTGTAACTTGGTTGGTTTTTACCGATTAATTGTATTGTGGGAGCCTCATTCATGGAGCAGGACCCCCATTGCGCTAGGCGCTGTACAAACCTAGAACAAAGATGGGCCCTGCCCTCGTAGACCGGATCTGCGAGTGCAGCAATTACACAGAGGGTCCCGTGTTTGGATGCTTCCTGTGTGATGCAGCTGATGAGTGACTCTCCCTCCATTGTAGGTTCAAAGTGGAAGGAGACGGACTATACGTATATCTCAACGAACGGCCCAGCAGTTCATTGGGCCATACCAACATGCAATCGATCTGCAGCCAGCCGGACGAACTGGCAAAGAGGAAACAAAACGGGGCCCTGCAAGCTTCACTGGAGTGAAGCAAATCCCCTCTCTTCAGCGGTCACTGCTGCTTCCTATATTACAGACATTGAATAGCTGCTTTAAGTGCCGTACTCAGCTCAACCTTAACTCCGGAGTTAGGAGAGCACCTCCATACACAGGGCTCTACCACGGGAGTGGGTGGGCGAGGTTCGGTGGCCTGCAGCGAGCAGGTCAGACTGGATGGTCATGATGGGCCCTTCTGGCCTAAAAGTCTAGGAGTTTAATTAAACCATTGCTCAGAGCCCCCTGCCAAGTTCAGGGCCGGCTGGGAGCTGCATGTACACCGTAAAGAGACGGTCCCTGCCTCAAACTGCTTACAAGCTGGCTAAGGCCTGCTCCACCCAGATTTTGTACAGGTTTAACTAGGCTGGCAAACGTTGGGCTTTTATTGGTAAAAGTCGATTTCACCGTATATACACACACACATATTCCCACAACTATGAACATTTAAATAGAAAAAAATGCTTAAAAATAAACCTATATTATCAGTCAAAATTGCAACCATTGAATGCTGCCAAGCCTAGCTATAGCTACTGGGCTAACATTGATCCCCCCCCCCCCGCCCCCCCACCTTGTGGTCTGCTCCCAGCAACGCTAGGGAACAAAGGGACTAGATCAAGGATTCAAATTCCCTTATTTTGCCAGCTGTTGCTCCGCATCAGCTCAGAGGAAGACGGAGGCCTCTGTATATAAAGCCCTTTGAAATTCGTCACCATGGGGCAGGAGCGCTCTGCTGGGGCGCTGACGTTCTCATTTGCCTCACACCACGATAGCGTCTTTCTGGCAAATCCACTTGAATTCGGCGCTGCAGGTTTCCGAGTTGATCGAGTTCCCCTTTACCACCCCACAGCTGCCGGAGGCAACAGGGCCCGAGACCGGGAACCTGCGGAGCGAAGGAGAAAGGTAGTGATAGATGGATCAGAGACCCCCTCCTCTCGCAGTGATGGGATGCTGGCCTTGATACCAACCCAGCTGGGCTGTGCCCAGATGCTGATGATAGCGTAACCCATGGCTGAGTGCCTCTCCTAATCTCATGGGATGGCTTCTTAGCTCAAGCTGTGGCAGCTTTTGCTTTTAGCTCTGGAGGTCCCCAGTTCAGTCCCTGGGCTGTCAGCCGTCACAGCAAAACCTCCCAGGACATGAACTGAGTTAGGGTGTCTTGTACGGGGAGACTTTGGCAAATCAGTAAAATGCCTGAAACCGCTATGGCTTATTGCTACAAGCAGCCAAGTCCGCAGGCTGTAAATTGGCCATTCAGCATTCTCAGTTTGACCAAGGCAGGAGGGGGGGGGGGAGTTTTGGGTGCCACAGAAAGGGCAGCTTGACACACACCCCCCCCCCTCCTTCCAGATAAGAATTGTGTTGAAGTGGCTGATCCTGCTCTTCGAAAATGCATGTATGTGCCCCAGGAATGTCTAGTGGGGCCTCAAGGCTGCAAACTCTGGAAAAACCCACACCTGGTTAATCGATAATCAGAAGGAGCCTCTTGCTTGACTATTGAAACTGCTTACTGAACAAGTTTTCTTTAAGGGACACGTCATTCTATGACTAATGTATAAATAAGGGGGAAAAGTTTGAGATAGTTGGACTCTTTTTGGACTCTCCTTCTGGATACATCTTGCAGTCCGCACCGGCAGACGGAAGATTTGGCCACCGGAAGCCTGCCGCTGTGCCACTCGAGAGCCACCCTCAGCTTTGGTAATTATCGAGGGTTGGGGGTGTTTTACTAACCTTTTGCAGACGTGTGTAAATGCTTGAGACTAAGTAAAGTTTAGCTTTAAGTGAAAGCACCCTTGTGTTGTCCTGTTTGTGCCAGCCATCTATCGGTCGGACAGCTGATTTATTTCCTGACACCACCTCGCACAGAGTAAAAGTTACTAAGAGCTTTGGGTTGAAAGAACCCCGGGTAACAGTCTCGTCTTCCCCCATTCTGATAACCACTCCCCGTTATTCAGGCCCCACAAGTCTCCGGGGAGATCCTGCCCCCCCTTGAAGTCACTGGGAGCTTTGCCAGGATCATTCCATCTCTGCTCTCTTCTTGTGGCCGATTCCTCTCTCGCTCATTGCCGATTTAACAACACGGACGCCCAGATCCACAAAGGTATTTCGGCTCCTAACTCCCATTGAATTCAATGAAAGTTTGAGGCCCTTGCGTCAATCATTATAAAGCTTCTGTAGCCAATGGTATTTAGTTTATTGCTCATTTCTTGTATGGTTATAATCAATAAGCAGGTTACGTCGTATATAATCATTGTATGCTCAATAGAGTTAAGATGTAGGATTATAGAAGTCTAAGAATGATTAGGAGCTGGAAGGGTTAATTTTGTATTCGGTATCTAACTAACGAGGGGCTGAAACACAAGGCCTGCAGGCTCAGGCCTGCAAGATTTAAGCTTCGCTGATGGAGCTGAGAAATGCCGACATAAGCAAGTGACCAAAGAATAACCCGATGCCCTAAGATTACAGGGAAAGAGGTACCAAGTGGTGGAATTGTGAAAAATCTAGCGGGAAGATTAATTTTAAATCATAAGAATGCCGCAAAGGTGCACCTGTTTCCAACGTGTGCCTTAATCACAGGACATAGGTTGTGTATTAATGCTCATGAGGATAAAGAGAACCTACACGACCTATAGGAATCGGGGTACTGTACCTTTCTAGAGGACATCAGACCAATAAGGAAAAAGAGGGTTGACACTTTTATGGACAGGCACAGACCGTAGGCGTAGACAGAATCACATTATAAAGAGGATGCCCAGAGTGGGAAAATTGAGCTCCCTACGGGAAAACTCCAGCAGGAACCATCCCTCTGTTGATGGGCAAGCCATGCGAGACCCATCAGACCTTAACACTGCTGTTAAGGTTGTGAGTATATTTGTAACTTGTGCATATGTCTGTGGAGAATTTCTATGTGCATGGGTATTCATACCCTTAATACAATTTGTAAAACGGATAGACTTTGTACTTGTGAATGTCTGTGTGGTCACTACCCTTGGTCTTTATTCCTTCCTAGAGACTCTAAATCTGAAGGGAGTGGCAGAGGTGACTTTCACGCCATTAAGCTTGAACCTGTAGGGACCACGTCCGAATGCAGAGTGGTGTGACCCCAGATTACAAAACTCACTTGAAATAAAAATCAAAGGCTAACTGCTCTCTCTTTAGCTAAACAAAGAGATGGTGAAGAGGTGACTTGATCACAGTCTCTAAATACCTACATGGGGAACAAATGTTTAATAACGGGCTCTTCAATGTAGCAGAGAAAGGTCTGGCACAACCCAATGGCTGGAAGTTGAAGCTAGACAAATTGAAACTGGAAATTAAGGCCGACATTTTTTTTTTTTAACAGTGAGGGTAATTAACCACTGGTAGAGTAACTCAAGGTTCATGGTGGATTCTCCATCTTTGACCATTTTTAAATTGAGTGGATGTTTTTCTGAATCATCTGCTCTGGGGTTTATTTTGGGGGCAGTTCTCTGGCCTGCGTTTATATAGCAGGTCAGATTATATGATCACACTGGTCCCTTCTGGCCTTGGAATCTATGAAGATGGGGAAACTGAGGCCCAATGGGGTACAGAGATTCTTAATCCTCTCCTTGTTTTATTATCAGACCGTGCTGTCTCCCAGACCTGGGACTAGAACCCAGATGGTCTAATCCAAGGCCCTGGAATCAGTAGGAGCCAAAGGAGAAACAAGGCCCTGATTTATAGCCTAGTCACAGAGCAGATGGTTGCAATAAGAACATTTGAATCGCAGCGATGTCCAAGTCGTCTGTGAAACCTGAGCTCCTGCTGGGATGCTAGGAGAGATTTCCGTCCAAAAACGCACAGCCCTGCGGAATCTGAGCCCAAATGTGCAAAGCTTCAGAATGAGCAAATCATAGGACTGGAAGGGACCTCGAGAGGTCACCCAGTCCAGTCCCCTGTGCTCATGGCAGAACTAAATATTATCTAGACCACCCCTGACAGGTGTTTGTCTAACCTGCTCTTAAAAACCTCCAGTAACAAAGTTTCCACAACCTCCCTAGGCAATTTATTCCAGTGTCTAACCACCTTGACAGTTAGGAAGTTTTTCCGAATGTCTAACCTAAACCTCCCTTGCTGCAATTTAAGCCCGTTGCTTCTTGTCCTGTCCTCAGAGGTTAAGGAGAACAATTTTTCTCCGTCCTCCTTGTAACAACCTTTTATATACTTGAAAACAGTTATCGTGTCCCCTCTCAGTCTTCTCTTCTCCAGACTAAACAAACCCAATATTTTCAATCCTCCCTCATAGGTCATGCTTTCTAGACCTTTAACGATGCTCTTCTCTGGACTTTCTCCAATTTGTCCACATCTTTCCTGAAATGTGGCACCCAGAACTGGACACAATACTCCAGCTGAGGGCTAATCAGTGCAGAGTAGAGCGGAAGAATTACTTCTCGTGTCTTGGTTACAACACTCCCGCTAATACATCCCAGGAGGATGTTTGCTTTTTTTTGCAAGAGTGTTACACTATTGACTCATATTTAGCTTGTAGTCCACCGTGACCCCCCCAGATCCTTCCTAACAAATCTACAAATGCGGAGGAAAAAGTTATCTTAGCCACAGTGAATCTGCAGGCAACACTCACAGTGTTTGATTTAAAGGGGAGCCGTCCACCCAGGTCCAGTTCCTGGTGTGGGACGTGATGTTCAGGCCGATCCAGATGTGGTTTGTGCCTTCTGCGATAGTGTTTATGAAATCCTGGGGAGTGTAAAGCAAGCGACTGGGTGACTGTCACACGGTCTTACACCCCCTGCATATACAGAGACTTCCCCCTCCTCCCCGCAAGCCCCATCACACCAGGAGATGTATCAGAGACCCAAAACATGCAAGGAAAATGGATTCTGACCCAATGGGGCCAGCACACTGCATGATACCCTCTCACTGGAGAGCTTCAGTGGTACTGAAGAATAGACCTGTTTCCCTGAGAGTTGCTGAGTGGTAAAGGAGTCAAAAATTTGTGGCACATTGATTCACACCAGCTGGAGAACTGGCCTTGTGCATTTCACTTTACCATCTCCTCTTGGTCCCGGATCACGAGCATCTGTGAATTCCTCGACTCACAGTCTTTCCGGCTCTCACTCCAGATCTGACTCCTTCTAGAATCCCAGTAGCACTTTCCCCTGTGTGCCCGCCAGTCCTTAGGGCAGAGTTCGCACCCGGTGCCCCCTGGAAGAAGAAACAGAGATGCCCGTGAACTCACAGAAAGCCAATATTTTTATTTCAAGCCATTCAAAAGCCCTAGCCCACAATGGGCGCTAGGAGCCAGACTCCCAGCTGGTGTCGGTCAGCATGGAGCACATCAATTTACACCAGCTCAGGATCTGGCCCGAGAGCGATCCTAGTCAAAAATTTCCATCCAATTTTGTCATAGTGGCGGGCGATGGATTTATTTTCCCCTCTTTTCTCATAACTCAGAGCTCAAAGGATTTCACTCAAACTCCCCCCCCCCCCGGATCCCCAACACTGTATGATGTAATAAATGTTTGTCACAGACCCAGCAAAGGAAGCGTGACCCTGGAGGTTGAGTATCAGAGCATTTGGGGGCTCTAATTACAGTTCTGGGTGCTCTGCAGAGTGAGAGCTACCCCCATGTGACCACTAGAGGTCACTGCTGCCATTAACACAGGTGAGGACGGGGGGGTCTGGGTATGTTGCAGGTCTCTGCTGAATATAGGATTGTTTTTGTGTTGGTTTGTTGCATTGCAGTAGCCCATGCTGGGCACTAAACCAACAAGGCACAAGAAGACAGTCCCCACCCCAAAGGGTATTTTTGTTACCTGCATTTCAGTAACACCTAAAGGCCACACTGCCTTTACTTAGGGGAACTGGACTGTTACTCAAGAGATCTGGGGTCTTTCCCAGTTCTGCCACTGAGCTGCTGGGTGACCTTGGGCAAGTCACTTCCCCTCTGGTTCCCCTCCTGCCTTTTGTTTAGGTTGCAAACTCTGCCAGGCTGGGACTGTCTCTCCCTGTGTGTCTGGGCAGCGCCTGGCACAAGGGGGACCTGATCTCAGCTGGGGCAGGGACTGTCTCTCGCTGTGTGTCTGGGCAGCGCTCGGCCCAATGGGGCCCTGATCTCAGCTGGGGCAGGGATGGTCTGGGCCTCCATGTGCTACTCTAATGGACCTAGTGACAGACAGCCTCCATCCCAAAAGCTCAATCTAAACAGAGAAAACATCCAAAGGAAGGATCATTATCCCTACTGTACGGATGGGGAAACTGAGGCCCAGAGTGATGTAATAGTTTGCCCAGGCTCGGACAGGGAGTCCGTGGCAGAGCCAGGTGTTGTACCCAGGTCTGCTGTGTCCCACTCTGGCATGTGAGCAGTGAGCTTTTCCAGCAGATGTTGAACGTCCATAGTCATTCCACGTCCCACCCGGCTTCCCCAGGTCAGGTGTTTCCCAGATGCTGAGCCCAGCCTGGAAATCAGTTGAGAAAGAATCTGAGCTGAGGTTACCTGCTGGGCCGCTCCAGGCTGGGTCACACAGACTCTGCTTGAGACGAGACACGAAGGCGGCCTGCTGGATGTCGCATTCTGCCCATCCGGCCTGGAAACCTTCCAAACAGCATCCATGCAGAGGGAGGTTAGGACACAGCACATAAGGAAGCTCTAAGGAGCTAGGTCACGTTCCATAGCCCAGAGGGAAGAGAGAAGGGGAGCAAATTTGGGCCCGGTTCCCCATTATCTTGCCCCTTATGGTGTCATTTACGCTAGTGCAGAATGCCACCATCTGCTCTGGTAGCAGATCTAGTCAATATTATCTGTATTTTCTGTGCTTTTTTTTTAAAAAAAATTTCAATTAGATACCCAAAAAAATCCAGTTTTTCGCTTCTGTTTCCCTTCCTTTTCCCCCTTCCTCCGTTTTCCCATTAAAAAGGGCTGATGGAAGGAAAAAAAGGGGAAGGAATGGGGAAAATATTTTCAGATGTTTCGTTAAACTCCAGGAAATTTTAAAAATATTTAGCGAAGGCCTTTGTCAAAAAAAACAAAAACAAAAAAAGCCACGATCTGGTATCTTTAGTAATATTTTGCACTGGTTTTCCCCCTGCGGTGAAGGGCAGGGAATCAGACACGTATCAGAGGGGTAGCCATGTTAGTCTGTTTCAGCAAAAACGAGGAGTCTTGTGGCACCTTAGAGACTAACAAATGTATTTGGGCATAAGCTTTCATGGGCTAAGACCCACTTCATCAGATGCATGGAGTCAGACCCATGGAGGTGAGCTGGTCTGGAGAACACGGTGGAAACCGGGCCGCAGTCATGCCCCCACTGGGGAAGATGAACCATAGCTGGTGGGAGAGTCGAATGAAAGTTGCCACTCTCATTTACCCTCTTCCTGCACTTGCAGTAGGCACCGAGGTAACAGGGTTACAGACATAAGAGCTGCCGTATTGAGTCAGACCAATGACCCATCCAGCCCAGTACCCTGTCTCTGACAGTGGAGGACAGGTGGGGTCCCAGAGGACGTGTGAAAGGTAGAGCTGTGGGTTAAACACCCTCAGGGCCTGGAGGAAGCCAGCGCCTGTGCCAGATACTTACCCCAGACACTCTGAGCAATCACAGCCGACACCAGAAGGACACACACAGCCCCTAAAACCCCCACAGCAACTTTATAACCATCGAGACCAGGAGGAGAACCTGTAAAAATGCAAACGTGGGGAAACCTTTTCAGTGAAGGATAAAAGTAGCCATGGAGGGATTTCCTGCCAAACCTACCAACCGGATTGTGGTACTAATCCTAGTGCATTCCCTGCAATTTCCACATCTAGTTTTGCTGGGCTCACTGGCAGAGTTAGTGCGACCATCTCAGTGTAAGATCTTTGGGGTAGGAGCTGGGGTACACAATTAATAGAAGTAAAACAGTAGCACCTAGAAGGCCTAGCTGAGATCAGGGCCCTGTTGTGCCAGGCGCTGTACAGACACACAGGGAGAGACAGTCCTTGCCCAAAGGTTGACCTAGTATAATTAGACTAGACAGACAAAGGGGAAACAGAGGCACAGAGACTTACCCAACCTCACAAGCAGGGACCTAAACCAGGTCCCCTGGCCTTTACCCTACCCAGTACCCCATGGCACGTCAGAAAGATATACTGTTATTTCAGGCCAGGCCAGCCAACAGTTCTTAACAACTCCCCCCCCCCCCCATTAGTGTCAACAGAACCAGCAGACAATACAATTAAGCAGCCCACTGTTTATTCCCTCCTTGTCTCCCTGGGTAGGAGCGTAGGTGTTGTCACACTGGACCAGAGCATGGGTCCATCTTGTACAGTCTCCTGTCTCTGATAGGGACCAGTGCCAGATGCATTCGAAGGTGATATAAGAACCCCATATCTACAGCAACCAGTCTGGATGCTGAGAGCTCTGACGCTTACCCCACACCCTGACCAGTCTCCTTTACTGATCTCTGTTGCACTGTTTTGAACAGCCGCCACAGTAATTTTGCACATCAAAAGTGCTCTCTGTCAGCAAAACACTCGTTTGTTCCCTCGTGGAGCTGTGGAAGAAATGCTGCAGCCCTGTCAGAAAAGGTGGATGAGTTTTTCCACAAGTGTCTATGAAAGGGAACTAAAAAGGGCCAAACTGGAATTTGAAAAGCAAAGAGCTCACGACGTCAAATCAACAAGATTCTTTAACTAGAGCAGAAGCAGGAACCCTCTGTGCAAGAATAAGTTAGTCTGCTGGAAAACCATGATTTTAAGGGAGCAATTAAGGAGGCTAAGGACATTTCTGAGAAGCTAAATATCTTTCTTCGCATCAGTTTTCACTACAAAGGGTGTGGGACAGATTCCTATTCTAGCACTGCTCTTTGCTGGTAATAGTGTTGACTTCCGGTCAGAGACTGAGCTACCAGACCAGGAAACTGATGATTTTAAAAATGTCATAAAATCACTCAGCTGTGGTTGAGAATGTTACCCCCCCTTTTTTTAAAAAAAAAAATGGCATTTTTTCTGTTTTGAACCAAAGCTCTCCATCTGACTCTGCTGACCTACCGAAATCAGGACTGAAAGAAAAATTTTGCAGAACAACCAACACGCAAAAAAAATTTTTTGTCTTCACATTTCTGATCACTTTTTTTAAACTGCAGGTGTTTGGAAAAAAAAATCAAAATATTTTTGCAAAAAAGTCCATGTTTGAAGAGGGGCAAAAAAGGCCATTTTTTCCCCCAAGAAAAACCTGTTTTTGCTGGGGAAGTTTCAACCAGCTTTGCTCGTGCCGTCACTGAAACCTAAAGAGCAGACGCCATTCCTGAGTGGACAGTGTAGGTTGGTTTATAGAGCAGTACCTTGGCTCCCGTGCGGAGATGGCTGGGTTGAGTTTATCCTCTTCATCTGGAGGGTCATGACGACGTAACCGTCTTCATTCTCCATCTTCTGATGCCGGTGTCGGGTTCGGTTTCGAACAGAGGATTGGAGAAGAAGAAGAGACGCCTGTGGATTCCGGCTGGTCTCCACAAGCCTACAGAGGAAGTACTGGCTCCTCCCCAAGAATCAGGTGTGAAACCACAACATGCAGAGATGCTGGTGTCCGATGGACCCAGCCGTGACAGTGGATCCAGATGCTGAGGAGGGGGGTGCAGGTGTCACATGGCTGTATGCCCGACCTGGGGGGGCCAGATGTTCTTTGGGAATAAGGCAGCGTAGCTACAGCTCATTGACCCCTGCTGAAAAAATCTGGGCCCATTGACACCAATTGAGCAACCGTAGATTCACACCAGCTTGAGTTTGGCCCCACTGACGCCAGTAGAGTTATGGGCGATTTGTACCAGGTGGGGAATCGGGTTCAGAGCAGTTTGTGGGGAGGAGACGTTGATAAGAACTAGCTGATAAGAACCTACGAACTGGCTCAGCCCAATGGTCCCACTACCCCAGTATCCCATCTCTGACAGCGGCCAATGTCAGATGCTTCAGAGGGAATGAACAGAGCAGGGCAATTTATCGAGCGAGCCATCTCCTGTCACCCTGTCCCTGCTTCCGGCAGTCAGAGGCTAGGGACAGCCAGACCATGGGTTGCATCCTTGACTGTCTTGGCTAATAGCCATTGATGGACCCAGAAGTGAGAGTGGGCCGGTGCGGCACTCCGGTTTTGCTCCCCCGTCAGCAGCACTGTCAGACCCTACCGGGAGAGTGCCGACGGGGGGGAGAAAAAGGGGCAGCTGCCCCAGACCCCAGCTTTGGGGGCCCCCCTGGAGCCCAGGGGGCTAGTGAGGGACCTGCTTCCAGCTGGGAGCAGGGGCCGAGCCCCCCCTGCACTGTCTAGCGGCGGTGGGAAGAGGAGACACTCAGCCCCAGCCCGCTCCACTCCCCCAGCTCACAACCGCTTCCCGCCCCCGGCACTCACCGGCGGTGGCAGGAAGTGGAATGTCATCGCAGCTGGGAGCCGGCAGAGTGGAGGGGGCTGGGGCTCTCCACTTCCCATCCGCGGTAAGGATGCTGGGCCCAGTGCAGGGTGCAGCGGTATGTCGTGCTGGCTACTTTCACTCCTGGCTGGACCGATCCTCCAGAGACTGATCTAATTCATTTTGAACCCTGTTACACTTCCGGCCCCCTCCACCTCCCCTGGCAATGAGTTGCACAGGTTGACTGTGCATGGTGGGAAGAAATACTCCCTTTTGTTTGTTTGTTTTCCACTTATGCTCAAATAAATTGGTTAGTCTCTAAGGTGCCACAAGTCCTCCTTTTCTTTTTGCGAATACAGAGTAACCCGGCTGCTACTCTGATCCCTTTTGTTTGTTTCCCGTCACCAGGTGACCCCTGGTTCTTGTGTTACGTGAAGGGGTAAGTAACACTTCCTCAGTCCCTTCTCCGCACCAGTCATGATTCTAGAGACCTCTATCAGCTCCCCCCTCGGTCATCTTTTTTCCCCCCAAACTGAACAGCCCCAGGGTTTTTACCTTCTGCTCACACGGCAGGTATTTCACACTCGTCATCAGGTTGATCATATCTGCATTCCCCCCCACGGCTGCCAACCACACTGAGAACATCACACAGCACCTGCGATGAAGCCAGCCTCCTGCGGGTCAGCCTTTGCTGATGTGTGGGAAGCCATTTTCCATCTGCTCACCTTCGAGCCAGCGCTGACTGGCCGGCCTTCTCCTGCTGGATAACTTTGGGTGCAGCCCACCCTTCCTGTGTAAACAACAAACTGTGGGAGAGAACGCCACAGCGGCTTCCTCCTGGAGTGGGACCCAGCTCATCTGTCTGCAGTGGGGTTTGCTCCCTTGCTTGGGGGGGCTCGAACACTTGGATCCCCAGAGAGATGTGCTGATGTCGGCAGACCATCTGGCAGCCATGCACAGAAGCCGGATACCTCGTTCCACCAGTCCCAGGGCCGTCTGTCTCTCCTCTCCCCACCAGCTTCCTGGCAGCCCAGCTCCTCTGGGCAGGGGTGTAATAGAAACACACGACCGATCTGGGGCCATCTCTATCCCCAGTGTGACCCCACTGAGGACAACAGCGTGGTGCAAAGGATTAATGCGTCAACTGAGCTAATTAATTGGTTGATAGACGTATGCCAGGGGTTATTTGAATCCCTGCAGTGTGACAAGTTTGATGCGGATTTCCTAGCCTCTAGGGACTGCACTGGGGCAGAAGAAGTAGAAAAAGGCTAATGAAGGCCCGCTCAGTCCAAACTGAGACAGCCGGAGGGAGATGATTAAAAGGAAGAGCCTTGCTCACCTGCAGGCAGAGAGAGCAGATCTGAGGCTGAACTCACTCTCCCAGAGAAGAGATTAAGTTACTGTTGCTTCTTGCTGGCTTTAGGCATGGAGTGCCCCACAACCGCATGGGAGGGTGGGTGGAGAAGCCCAGGGACTCACAAGGGGGCACGCTGGTAAGGACGTGCTATAACACAAATCGAATTTGGGCCTGGCGTGAGTGAGTGAGACTCTCTATGGCAAGAATGCCAGGGAAGCATGCTCACGCTAGGACAGCCTTGAGCTTCTAGCGCTGGGGATGAGGGCGTGAATTAAATTTAAGTCGCTTTACACCCCTGTTGGTAGGACTTGCTTTACCATAGCAGCCAGAGAAGACTGGGCTTCACCCTCACGTAGCTGACTAAAAGCGTATAATACTGACACTGAGTGGCCAGGAGACATTTGATCGCACTCTGCTAGTGTTGGAAATTCCTAAGAAGGCAGGAAGGTTTACGGTAGGTTAAAAAAAATATTCAGACAGCTGTGACTTTATTATTGCGTGTATTGCAGTCGCATCGAGTCTTCAGGAGACATCAGTGCCCCCCTTGTGCAAAGATAAGTGAGACACTCCCTCTACTGTATAGCTTATCGACGAAATAGAAATCCTGTCGCAGACAGGAGGGACAGGCACAGAGATAAATACAATAGTAAAAACAGATTTAAAAAAACAATCACATTTACTTATGATCAAGGCTACGATTTTGGCACTGGTATTTTTATGTCAACTCCTGGACAGGACATGGACAATAAATAATAAATGATGGATGCCCAAACCCTGCTGCTCAGGGTTGAATTATTGCATTTTCAAGAAGTTGTGGAGGGCTCATTTAAAAAAAAAAAAAATCACAGCATCTGTAAGATCCATGACAGATTTGTAGCCTTACTTATAATTATTAATGTTACAATACAGTTCCAGCCAGGGCCCCATAGCGATGGGATGGACACACACATACACACAGTCCCTGCCCCAAAGTGCTTACAATCTACATGGAGGAGTATCTCATTTTAAAGATGGGAAACTAAGGCACAGGACGGTGGAAGGCCCGATTTTCAGAGTAGCTCAATTCCCAGTTAGGCAGCTGCATGAGCCTTCGGATTAAACACCCCACTCACTGTCTGAGCTCTTGAATATTCGGCCCTGAGTGACTCACCCATAGACAGGGAGTTGGTGGAAGACCCGGGTCTCCCAAGTCCCAGCCCGGAGCCTTAAGTGCAAGGGCAGCCCTGGCCCCACAGGGGAAGAAGTCACATCCAGGATAGTGCAACGATCGTAGCTGTGTAACGCACACAGAAGGCACCTGCCCCTCGGCCATTCAACGCTATTCACGTGCTCGCTCTCGGCTGCGTTGGGGCAGCCGGCTCAGGTCCCGGGACTGTACCACCTCTCCATTCGATGGGATCTCCTCACCAGCCTCTCCGTCTCGGGTTCCAGCCTCGGGCAGATGCGAGACACGGGCCGGTACGCAAACGGGCGAGTCTGCCGAGTCCAAGATCCCTTCCTCTTTGCAACCACGACGGGTTTCCGGTCCTTCTCTCCCACGTTTCCAGCGGACATAAAGTGCAGCAGCAACAAACAAAGCAGCAACGAACCCCAGCGATACCCACATGCCACTGTGGCCCCTTGGCTCTGGAAAGAAAACCAAAGATGAGAGTCAGTTTAGGCACAGCTGGACTAAGAGAAGACAAGTGTCCCAGTGGTTAGAGCCCTTGCCTAGGTCTTGGGAGACCAGGGTTCAATTTCCTGCTCTACCTTTGAGTCCTTCTCTGGGCCTCAGTTCCCCCTCTCCAGTGTGGATAACAGCATTGCCTTCTCACAGGGGTGCTGTGAGGCTGAATCCAAGGTGCTCAGATACTAACATGACGGGGTCCAGATAAATATTTTAGAACAAGCCTTACTGAAAAGAAGCTGGCCTCTGCCACAAAGATCTGTTTGCACAGCACCTAACACTCTGGGGTCCTGGCTATTAACCCAAGGCAAATAATACATTAGAGTCACTCAGACTAGAGCAAGGGTAACCTCATGTTGCTGCCTCTCATGATGTTTGGTGCGTTCCTTAAAGCCCCAGCTCCTGGAGTCCTGTGATTAGAGGAGACTCCCCGCTTTCATTTGGGTCTTCTCAGGGAAGGTTTCCAGCCCTTGGGGCTGTGGGGAGAGTTTGAAAACACAGTCCCTAGAGGTAGGTGCAAAAAGGGGGACGGAGACTGAGCATTGCAATCCCCTGCCACCCCAGAGCATGGCACCCTGGCTCCCTATACAATTCAGAGGCCCCTAAAATTGGGATTCACAGAAGCCAGCGTGCGAGGCAGGGGGCTGCCTAAGGTAGCCAGTAGGAAATGCCGAGGAGAAGGCTGTGCAAAGCCACCTCCTTCCACTTGCAATTCACAGCCAGGCGCCCTCTCCTGGAGTTAAATGCCTAAGCAGGGTCAGTCCATTTTTGAGAAGAAACAAGATGGCAGCGGTTAGAGCATTTGCCCAGGGTGTGGGAGACCAAAGTTCAAACCCACGGAGAGAAGCAAAGACTTGAACCCAAGTCTCCCACCTCTCTGGAATGGGCTGTACCCACTGACCGCCAGGAGGGACTGAGGGACCCCCCCAACGTTGTTCCACTGGGCATAAATAATTAGCTGGAGAGCCCCAAGAAATTCGCAAATACAAGACACCATGGTAAAAAAACAAAACACAAACACCCACCCCTCAATGGCAGTGCCCATCTCACGGAGCTGGGCCTGGCTCTCCACTCCTGTGTCGTGACCTGGCGCATGGGGTCACATCACCGCTCAGGTATGGGGGCAGCCGGGCCAAACCGGGCTGGGGGGGTGGGGGGTGGGGTGGGGGGATTGGCCCTATAGGACAGGAGCTGCCGCTGCAGGGTGAGTGCAAGGCAGATTCACTCTCCAAACCTTCCCTTGCCCAGCCTGGCCTGGCCAGGCCCAGGGCTTCCCCATCTCCCCCAGGGGACCTGACCCCCCCATACCACCATGTGGATAAAACAAAACCTCACACAATTCCCTCCAAATAAGACGTTATTTAAAAAAAAAATTCACAGGGCTCTAATTATCTGACAGCCCCCGGCTGCGGGTGATCGCTGGGATCAACACACAAACACCCAGAGTTCTGGGTAAAAGCTGATCAGGCACTGACCCAGTTCTGCACAATCCCGCTGGGAAGTGCTCCTGTAAAGAGATTCAGGTCATTAATACTTACCCCGCTCCAGAGAGCCGTTGGAAAGCATCCCTCGTCTACTTCCCTCTCCAGTCCGATTGGCAGTCTCCTCTCTGACAGCGGGAGTCTCCGATATAAGTGGTGGGAACAAGACAGGACCTGCAGGCAAACAGGAGGGCACAGATGTCAAGGCAAGGAGGCACCATTAGGTCAGCTGATCTGATCTCCTGTATAACCCGGGCCAGAGGACCTCACCCAGGGGTTCCTGCATCCAGCCCATATCTGGTGATGGCCTAGAGCTTTTTTTCCCTGAAAGTCATCCAGTCTTGATTTAAAGACTTCACGGCGATGGGAGGCTGAGATACACAGCACCTTGCAGGAAGCAGTAATGCAATATCTAGGCTCTGATCCAGCCCTTCTGCCCATCCCCGTAGTATCGTGCACCTCATAGTCCCTTTAAAGTATTTATCCTCCCAACATTCCCCACCACGGTGGGGGAAGCACCGTTATCCCCTGTACCAGGGCGGTTTGCTCCTGGGCTGGAGAGATTAGGGCCAAGCCTGCCCTGATCACAGGAGTCATCCCAGCCGAAGGGAATCCGGAGATTCCAATGTAAAGGGCAGTGTGGGGCGGGGGGAGAGGGGGGGGTGGTTGAAAGAAAGTTGAGCCTGACAGCAAGCTAGGGAAGGCCAGGAATCAGGAGATGTACTGAGCTGAAATGGATACAATACTTGGTGTGTTTTGGGACCGCTGAATTCTGCGTTTGGACAAACTCCGTTGCCAGCCTGGAGAAAAGCGGTTCAACAATTCTGGGTGGACAAAGTGATTGGAACCTGTGTGAGTTCTTAAAGGGGGCCCGATGAAGGGGAAACAGAGGCAGATTGGTGGCCACGATACTATATCCCCTGACAGAGGCGCACACACACAGACTTCGTGCCAGATTTGTAAAGGTATTTAGGCGTTGCTGTGCACAGGGTCACAACGCCTAACTGAGTTAGGAGCCTACATCTCTTTTCACAAGGGATTTAGGCACTTAGGAGAAAAGATCCCATTGATAGACAGAATTTCAGCTCCCATGTGCCCAAATGCCTTTTGAAAGAGTTAGGCTCCTAAATCAATCAGTTAGGGGCTGCGACACTGTGCATAGCAACGCCCAAGACCTTTACAAATCTGGGGCTAAGTGACTTGGCCAAGGTCACACAGACAGTCTGTGGCAGAGCTGGCATTGACCCAGTGTCTCCCGAGGCCTGAGCCGGCAGACCAAGCACAAGGACCTCCTTCCTCCCTAAACATGGCAGAAGAAACAGACGCCCAAAGGGAGTCATAAACAACACTGAGCATGTAGAAAAGGAGGACTTGTGGCACCTTAGAGACTAACCAATTTATTTGAGCATAAGCTTTCGTGAGCTACAGCTCACTTCATCGGATGCGAATACAGACAAACACGGCTGCTACTCTGAAAACTGAGCATGTATTCAGCATTTCTCATCCATAGACGTCCAAGTGCTTTACAGAGGTGGTCAGTGTCATCCCCACCATTTTACAGATGGGGAAACGGAGGGACAAAAGGGGAGGGGGGCAGCAACATGCCCAAGGTCACCCAGAAAATCAGGGGCAGAGTTCTGAATGAAAGCCAGATCTTTGAAGTCCCAATCCAGCCTTACCCACTTGACCCATCTGCCTCCAAGAAAGCAATCCCAACTGTCGACAAGGATCTCAGGGACAGCGAAGCCAGAAGAACTATGCCGCTCTGAATGACATCCCTGGGAATTATACACCACTTCCGCACATCGGATGGAGGGGGGAGAGGCTGTGCGCGTGAGACTGAACTGGAATTGGCCGTAAACCTCAAGGCAAGGCACCTGGGAAACTTACCAGACACCGTCAGGTTGATACGCGCAATGCAGATTTCATGAAGGTCACTGACGACTCGGTATTCTCCGGCCATCCATTCACTTGCGTTCTTCACAGAAACGAGGAGCCAGCCTGAGACAGCGATCCGTCCCTGGTACTTGCGGCTGTAGTAATTCTGCTTTCCTTTACTAGTGAACACCAGGATGGGGTCACAAGCAGTGTCGGAGGCCGTGATGGTGGTTGGCATCTTACACAAACAAGATGCCTTCTTGGGCAGGTTAATTTCAACATGCCCAGAGGAGCCTTCGGGCACAGACAGGTTATAGCGGGGACAAGCTCCAGACCCTAGAAGGAAAAAGGTGTGTGAGCGACAAGTGGGTTCTACGCTGCTCTTGTGGAAGACAATGATTTCCTCTGGAGAGGAAGCGGGCATGCTGCAGGTCCGGGGCCCAGGAGCAAAGCTAAAGCTGGCTGCGGACGGGTTAGCTCAGGGCGTGGATGGCAGAATGTCGCGGGTCAGGACTATGGGGCACTGGCAGAGCTGTGGGCTAGGGCAGCGGAACCTTCCCAGAAGTGGGGGGGGCCCCCACGGGCCCCCATCCCCTCTGTGGCCCTGCCCCCACCCCCGGCCAAGCTGGAGTGGGGCTGGAGAGCCCAGGCCCCTCCACCTGCCTGAGGTGGGCCCCCCAAGAGCAGCTCCTGGCCCATGTATCCACCCCCCAGACCCTCTGCCCAAGGCGGTGGAGGGTCCACGGCTCCCCACAGTTGCCTGCGTGATTGTTACCCCCACCTGGCTCCAGCTGGGGGGCAGGGCCTTGGAGCCACACTCAGCCCTGGTAAGAGCCATGCAGGCACCTGCAGGGAGCCAGATGCTCCACCTGTCCTGGGCAGGGGGGGAGGGTGTCCAGCGGGCGGGGACTGTTCTCAGGGCCCCCCCACCCCAGGAAGGTGGAGGGTCCATGACTCTTCACAGCTGCCCAGGCTCCTGGGTCAGGCTCCAGCTGCCAGGAGGGCTGGGGGAGGCGGGGCCTCAGGGGGAAGAGGAAGGGCAGGGGCCAGGCTTCCCTGGCTGGGGGGCAGGGGGAAGACAGCTCTGGGCTGGAATAGTTGTGGACATCAACAGAGCTCAGCTGGGGGGGGGGAAGACCAGGGCTTGAGGGAAGAAGTGGGGACTGAAGGTCAGGACAGAGGAGCATCCGCAGAGCAGGAGGGTGGGAAGCCGGGGGCTGGAATAGCAGAGGGAACATGGGTCAGGATTAAGGTGAATTGGCAGAGTTAGGTGGGAGTGATCCCCGTGGGGCCTGGGATCAAGGGGCACTGGTGGATGTAGGAGGGAAGCCCAGGGCTAGAAGAACTATAGGGCACCAGGAGAGCGGTGTATACCGAAATTGCAATACTGGGGTACGGGATGGGTGCAATATGCTCCATGGAAAGGAGACCAACCTTCCCCCACCCCCCAGCCAACATTTCAAAGATCCCCAATGCAACTCAACTCGGGGGTGGGGTGGGGGGGATCTAGATTTAAGTGTCCAGATTTGGGAGGGGGGAGAGCAAGAGGTGAGGGTAAGTATGGTTAAGAGCCACCTGGACACCTTGCCCCTGCAAACACACACACCCATCTCCTGCCCTTGGCCAATAAAATCTGTCAGTGCCTCAGATCCCTCCCCCCCCCACACACTTTTACCGTGACTCACCCTGCTGCCATCTGCAAGAGGCCAGTCCAGCCTACCAATGAAGATCATTTCTTGCAGTTTCCCACCCCCACCATCCACTCACTTGCACAGACCCAGCTCCTTATTTTCCAGCCCTGCCTTCTCCCCATAGCAATGGGGGGAAAGACATAATCCTCCAGACCTCCAACTCCCTGTTACCTCCCAGCCCCATACTTGCTACCTCCCCCCCACCAGTAAGGAGACATCCTCCTCCCCATCTACTCCCTAGCTGCTACCCTGCAGCAAGAGGATGGACCACCCCCCCTCCATCCATCCCGAGCAGCCTGCTACCCCCATCCCCAGCAGGAGGAGCATTCCACCCCCACCCCCCTATTCTGCCGCTCTCCGAAATAAGGATCCCCCACCATATCCCCTCTGAACCCAGCACAGCTGTATTCCGTCCCCCCATTACCCATCTCCCCTGCCCACCTGCCACATGCCCAGTCCCTGGAGTCAGCCAGAGGGCCCCCAAAAAGATCAGGGTCTTTAGTCTCCACATTGGCCCAAGTAGCAGCTGTTGAGCGTGTCTGTCCCCTTCCGCGCACACAGCGACAATGGTTGAAATTTTCTTGGAGGCTCGTATTTCCCGGGACTTGTGCAGACATCGTCATGAGCTGGGAGGAGGGATTGGTTCCCCCTTTGCGCCGGCCCACATCCGCTCTGCCTCCCTGGGCCTGAGGGGGAAGCCGCCACCTGCTTCTCAGCCTTCTCTGGCTTCCTGCGCGAACAGCTGAGTCGCAGGAAGCCAAAGCGGCGCCTTCAGGGGAGGATGCGGTGCTCTGCACCCACCAACTTTTCCCCTTGGGTGCTCCAGGGCTGGAGCACCCCTGGGAATTGGCGCCTAAGGTGCTACTTTTGGCCGATTAAATTTCTCCCTCCCGGAACAACCGGTTCTCAAAGGGCTTCTAAATTTAACAACCGGTTCTAGCGAACTGGTGCGAACGGGCTCCAGCTCACCACTGGTTGTGCCCCCAGCAGACCACCCCGCTAAACTAAACACCGATCTGACTGTACTCTGTGGGTACACACTACACGGGTTTGCAGGATCCCACCCACGCTGGGACAGCACTTTTCTGACCAAGATGATTTTCCAAGTCACCTGTGTCTCCTCCTCCTCCTGTCCTAACCCACTCCACACCCAGAGCCAGGGACAGAACCCAGGAGTCCCGATTCCCAGTGCCCCCTGCAGCTCTCACCACTAGGCACCCCTATTTTCCAAGGGCAGAGATTTTCTGGTCTAGTTCCAGTCCTTATTAGGAAGCTGCTTTGCTGGCCAGCAGGGAAGCACCCATGCAAGCTGCGGGGGGGGCTGAATGAGAAATCCTGCGTTTAGAGATCGCCTTTCACAGAGGCTCAGAGGCCAGGGCAAAGCCTGGGAGTGAGAGATGCATGGTCCAGGGCTGCTCCTGGGAAGATGGAAGGTTTTAGGCAGCACCCCCACCCCTGGAAGCTCTGACCCTCACTTCCCTCCTAGCCCTCCCCCGCCCTGAACACAGAGCAGCCATTCTAAGTGGGGCGGGGGGGGACGGGGCACTCAAGGCACTGCTACAAAGGAAGTTCACAGCTTACCGGCTGGCCGGCCCCCTTTCTGTGCAGTATCCCCTGCAGATGAGCCATCTCCCCCTCTCTGGGCACGAACAGCCAGGCGTGCTCTGCAAACCCCTTTTTCCAAGCCGGGCAAATACAGCACCTAGGCACGATCAAAACCGCGGGATTTAGCCCCGCCTGTCTGGAAGCCTGGTGATTGGCTGTCATTAGCATACTGTACTGTCATTAGCGTACGCAGAGGACAGCGTGTAGCAAATGAGCGGTGATCTGCATAACGCGCGGGAAGCTGCAGGGCTGGGGGGCCGCCCCGCCTGGTCTCGTGTGCATTGAGCCAGCTGCTCTGGGTTCCCTCCCAAGCAGAGGTTGGTGTAAAGTGGCCCTTGCTCTGTTGGAGTCAATGAGTCAGATCCCCCCCCAGGGTGAAACCACTACTCTAACCCTTAGGCAACGCTCCCCTCTCAAAGCCAAGATTGGAGCAGCTGCTTATTGCTCCCCTGCTGTCTAGGAAAAATAGCTTGTGTAAAACCCGCTGCCAACGGGCCTTAGCGGGGTTGTCTGCTCGGTGTCCCCATCCGGTATCCTCATTTTGAACCTCTGACCTTCACTCTGATCCCTAAAAAGAAAAGGAGGACTTGTGGCACCTTAGAGACTAACCAATTTATTTGAGCATAAGCTTTCGTGAGCTACAGCCCACTTCATCGGATGCATCTCTGATCCCTGTTTTTCATTAGTTGTCTCCCGGGACTCAGTTGGTCCCTGGGTCCAGTGGTCCCTCCCGCTGGGCTGGGGGAGGGGCCTTTAACAGTGGGTGGGCTTGAGCCTGCCCACTTCCCGCATTTTTTCGTATAAAATCTCCTCACTGTATTTTCCACTTTATGCATCCGATGAAGGGAGCGGCAGCTCCCAAAAGCTTATGCGCGAATAAATTGGTTAGTCTCTAAGGTGCCACAAGTCCTCCTTTTCTTTTTGCGAATACAGACGAACACGGCTGCTACACTGAAACCTCCATCGTGGCCATCTAGTCTGTCCACCTGAATGGCACAGGCCAGAGAACTGCCCCCAAATAATTCCCACAGCAGATCTGCCCTGCTCACATTTCCCGGCCACTGGGCACAAGGGAGGGACACGGAATTCAGCCTCTTCACCAGCTGTAATAAATAAAAAACCAAGCAGCCACATGGCGCCGAGCTTTGCCCCCTAGGGGGATCAGCCCTGGGTCCTGGTCTCTTCTGCTTCTCTCCTTACAGTGGAGGGAGGTGCTTTGGGGTTATTTTAATTTGCAAGCTAGTTTCACATGAGGCAGGGCAGGTATGGGGGCAAGTGGGAACACAGAACAATACTTGCAAACCATATCTATTCAAAGCATAATATGAGATAGCAGGAGACCCTGAGCCAAAATGCCCAAGTCAGTTTAGTAGGGCTCATACAGCTGGGACTGAATGCAGAATTTGGAGCATTGTCGTTAAGGCATAAATTGGGTGGTTAGAAGGCTAGCGGGGTGTCAGATGGCAGGAGAACGTAGAGCTGGGAGGAAAAGGATAAAGGCAATAGGTGCATTCAGAAAGAGAAGCAAGGTTGTTACCACCGCTACAGACTAGGGACCGAATGGCTAGGCAGCAGTTCTGCGGAAAAGGACCTAGGGGTGACAGTGGACGAGAAGCTGGATATGAGTCAGCAGTGTGCCCTTGTTGCCAAGAAGGCCAATGGCATTTTGGGATGTATAAGTAGGGGCATAGCGAGCAGATCGAGGGACGTGATCGTTCCCCTCTATTCGACACTGGTGAGGCCTCATCTGGAGTACTGTGTCCAGTTTTGGGCCCCACACTACAAGAAGGATGTGGATAAATTGGAGAGAGTCCAGCGAAGGGCAACAAAAATGATTAGGGGTCTGGAACACATGACTTATGAGGAGAGGCTGAGGGAGCTGGGATTGTTTAGCCTGCAGAAGAGAAGAATGAGGGGGGATTTGATAGCTGCTTTCAACTACCTGAAAGGGGGTTCCAAAGAGGATGGCTCTAGACTGTTCTCAATGGTAGCAGATGACAGAACGAGGAGTAATGGTCTCAAGCTGCAGTGGGGGAGGTTTAGATTGGATATTAGGAAAAACTTTTTCACTAGGAGGGTGGTGAAACACTGGAATGCGTTACCTAGGGAGGTGGTAGAATCTCCTTCCTTAGAGGTTTTTAAGGTCAGGCTTGACAAAGCCCTGGCTGGGATGATTTAACTGGGAATTGGCCCTGCTTCGAGCAGGGGGTTGGACTAGATGACCTTCAGGGGTCCCTTCCAACCCTGATATTCTATGATTGCTGTGTGTCTGTGCTGCTCTGGACCCCAATAATCCCTCCCTCTAGTCTAGGCTGTGTAAATTCGTATACCACAGCCCATGGGATTACTGGTGCTTGCCTAGAGCAGTGGTTCTCGACCAGGGGTACATCTATGTACCCTGGGGGTACGCAGAGGTCTTCCAGGGGGCACATCAACTCATCTAGATCTTTGCCGAGTTTTATAACAGGCTACAGAAAAAGCACGAGCCCAAACTGAAATTTCAGACAGAGGATGACTTCTTTACACTGCTCTATAGACTACACACGGACAGGTAAGTACAATATTTATATCCCGATTGATTTATAATTATATGATACGAATGAGAAAGGAAGCAAATTTTCAGTAACAATGGCTGTGACACTTTTGTATTGTTATGTCTGATTTCATAAGCGAGTCATTTTTGAGTGAGCTGAAACTTGGGAGGGATGCCAGAAAGAGGTACAGTTGTCTGGGGAGGCTGAGAGCCGCTGGTCCAGAGGCCAGTAAGTATATGTCTACACAGCAAAGGAAAACCCATGGCTGGTCCATGCCAGCTGATTCAGGCTTTCGTGGCTGTTTCATTTTTGTGTAGACTTCTGGGCTCTGGCTCTGGGACCCTCCCACCCGATCGGGTCCCAGAGTCTGAACTCCGGGCTTAGCCCAGATGTCTACACAGCAATGAAACAGCCCTGCGAGCCCAAGTCAGGTGCCAGCCGCAGGTGTCTAGTTGCTGTGTAGACATGCCCTGAGTTTCAAGCAGGCACAAGGCTGGGTCTGGCACCACATGGCCTGTGTGTCTGAATGTTTATCCTGTGCTGATCCTACACCCCTCCTGAGTCATCTCCACTGAGTCAGCCCTGTGATTTATCAGGGGACGGAACAGCCAGTCACAGAAAATCGTGAGTCACCCATGTGTGACGGTGCAGAATTTGAGCAGTGTTGTAGCCGTGTCAGTCCAAGGATATTCACAGTGGGTGAGATATCTTTTATTGGACCAACTTCTGCTGGGGAGAGAAACAAGCTTTCGAGCCTGTCTATTCCAAGCTCTGCTGCTGGGTGAGTGGGGGGAGAGGGGGTAAATTGCTTTCCCCTACCCGTGCCTCAGTTTCCGCATCTGTGAAATGGCACTAATGATTTTTGTAAAGTGCTAGGAGATCTGCTTTATGAAAAGCGCAAGATACAAGAGCAAATACTCACCAACAACCACATACCACACAACAGAACCACTAACCCAGGAACTTATCCTTGCAACAAAGCCCGTTGCCAATTGTGCCCACATATCTATTCAGGGGACACCATCACAGGGCCTAATAACATCAGCCACACTATCAGAGGCTCGTTCACCTGCACATCCACCAATGTGATATATGCCATCATGTGCCAGCAATGCCCCTCTGCCATGTACATTGGTCAAACTGGACAGTCTCTACGTAAAAGAATAAATGGACACAAATCAGATGTCAAGAATTATAACATTCATAAACCAGTCGGAGAACACTTCAATCTCTCTGGTCACGCAATCACAGACATGAAGGTCGCTATCTTAAAACAAAAAAACTTCAAATCCAGACTCCAGCGAGAAACTGCTGAATTGGAATTCATTTGCAAATTGGATACTATTAATTTAGGCTTAAATAGAGACTGGGAGTGGCTAAGTCATTATGCAAGGTAGCCTGTTTCCTCTTGTTTTTTCCTACCCCCCCCCCCCAGATGTTCTGGTTTAACTTGGATTTAAACCTGGAGAGTGGTCAGTTTAGATGAGCTATTACCAGCAGGAGAGTGAGTTTGTGTGTGTATGGGGGTGGGGGGGATGTGAGAAAACCTTGATCTATGCAGGGAATAGCCCGACTTGATTATGTAAAGAGTTGTCACTTTGGATGGGCTAGCACCAGCAGGAGAATGAATTTGTGTGGGGGGTGGAGGGTGAGAAAACCTGGATTTGTGCTGGAAATGGCCCACCTGTTGATCACTTTAGATAAGCTATTACCAGCAGGACAGTGGGGTGGGAGGAGGTATTGTTTCATGATTTCTGTGTGTATATAAAGTCTGCTGCAGTTTCCACGGTAAACATCTGATGAAGTGAGCTGTAGCTCACGAAAGCTCATGCTCAAATAAATTGGTTAGTCTCTAAGGTGCCACAAGTACTCCTTTTCTTTTTGCGAATACAGACTAACACGGCTGTTCCTCTGAAAGCTAGGTATTATTATTATTATTTATTATTAGTAAAGATTGTGAGGTGTTCAGATAATCTGATAAGGGGAACCCTATGGCTAGAGCCCTACTAATCTGGGGGGAAGACCAGATAAATCTGATGTCCACTGGTGTAAGTAAGGGGAAACTGAGGCCCACACAGGGCCATTTTCCATGCGACAGGCTGTTGCCTACATATATCGTAGGCGGCCCCTCCGTCAGCAACAAACCTTGGCACCCTCTAGTGATTTTTCTGTGGGCCCCCTGTTGGCATGCGGGATCCCTCCCCGCACAGAGCCCCCTGCTGGAGTTGTGTTCCCCACCTTCTTCTCTGAACCCAGCCCACTCAAAAACAGGGTGCAGTGGGTAGGGAGACACTGATCAGAGTGAAGACCAAAGGCGGTGGGAACCCTTCCTACCGCCACCCCTCCTACAATTGGTCTTCCATACGCACCATGCCATCAAGGGGGAGGAGAGGAGTTTTTTAAAACCCTGCAGAGGTCTCTGTGTGAGGACGGAAGGGCCAGCTGCTAGCATCCCAGCAGAGCTCTGCGCTGGATTGTTTTAGGGGTTTCCCCTGGACTCCCTGCTCTTCACAGCAGTGTTCAGGCATCTGCTGTTAGGAGCTGCCTGTGGCCTTCCAGAGCAGGCTCTCTGCAAACTCAGGCAGACCTCACTGTGTCAGCTGGGGGCATTTTTGGACACCAATCTTTGCAACCCTGAGGAGGGAGCTGGGGGTGGGGTGGGGGGAATGCACAAAGAACCTGCCGTGACGATGAGAAGGGGAGAGAGTGATATGGGGGAGGGGGGGCATGTGGGGGACAGAGAGCTCCTGGCATGGAGGAACACACAGATGGGGGTAGGAATAGGGGTGAACAGAGGCCCTGGCAATGGGAGGGGGTGACACAGAGCTGATATCATTGGAGAGGGGATTGTGAGGGTGGCACAGCGAGCCTTTGGGTTGGGGGAGAAAGGGGTACCCTGGTCTAGGGACATGAGGATCTGGGGGGAGAAAGGGGAACCCCCGGTCTATTGGCATGGGGATCTGGGGGGGCACACAGAGCCCCTGGCATGAGGCAGGGCGGGGCAGCTGCAGGTGGGGTCTGTGCAACAGAGGGGGACGCTGGAGGAATGGAGGATGCAAGGGCCTTTGTTGTGTGCAAGGAGCTGGACACAAGCAAAGCAGCTGATCCCCCTTAGGAGCAAATAAAGCAGAAGCTGCGGGCGTGTGTGTGTGCGGGGGGGGTTAGCTGGAAAAGATTCTAGTTTGAGACCAGGGGAGTCGCTTCAAGCCTTGGGCTGGAGGGAGGGAACTGGGGTCTCGGCAAGGCAGGGAGAAGGGACTGGGCGGAGCGGGGTTGTTTACATCGCAGCTGGATAAAGTCGCTGCTTTCGTTTTCGCTTCCTCAACCTGCCACGGCAGCTCCTGCCACAGCGTCCTGGGAGGTGAGTTTATTGCATTAGTTTCCTGATGCAACTCCACGTTTGGCTGTCTCGGTGCTCAGCTGCCCTGGGGGGGCAGCTTCCCCCCTGCAGCCGTGATTGTTGTGTTTACTTGTGCACGGAGTTGGGACAGTGGATTGGGGGCCCTTCGCGTGGCACTGGGCAGGCGGGGCCGGCAGGAGTGGGGGGCGGTGCTCCAGGCTGGGACCCCCCCCCCCACTTGTGAGGGTGGAAAACTGCATGTCAGCGCCCCGATGATTGTTTCCCTCTCGGGATGGTCTCCCCGTGGAATGACTTGACTCCGGCACCACTGCTCCGGATGAGCTGCTCCCTGTGTGAACGCTTGGCATTCGCATCGGAGCAGCAGCATTTGGAATCGACTTTCAAGGGAAGGCAAGCCCTTCCCCCTTTTTCCTCCTCTCCACCCCCCTACCCCCAGCGAGCAACTCCTGGGCTCACTTGACTGCTTTCTTCCTTGCCTCTCCTCTGTACTGGCTGCTGAGGACCAGGAGGGGGCGCTCTCCCCTTGCAGTGAGTGTCAGCACCCGGCTAGGGGGCGCTGTGCTTCAGGGAGCGGGGCTGGGGGCTCAGTAGGGGGCGCTCTCCCCTGGCAGTCAGCGCTGACCCCAATGCACCAGTGCAGCGCTAGGCTACAAGGAGTGGGGCTGGGGGCTCAGTAGGGGGCGCTCTCCCCTGGCAGTCAGCGCTGACCCCAATGCACCAGTGCAGCGCTAGGGGGCGCTGTGCTACAAGGAGTGGGGCTGGGGGCTCAGTAGGGGGCGCTCTCCCCTGGCAGTCAGCGCTGACCCCAATGAAGCGCTAGGGGAGCTAGGGTGAAGGTGCCACCTTTAAGCTGCACCCCTGTAACTCATGTAACCCCATTGGGGTTCAGAGAGCCTGGCCCCTTTTACAACCTTGTCCTGAGGCAGCGGAAAGGCGGGTTGTTCTGGGATGGGGAAAGGGGAAGCGACAGCGTGTGCGTGTCTGGAGCTCCAGACAAGAGAGCTCCAAGCGAGCAGGCCCTCACGTAGCGAGGCAGCTGAGAACCTGCCCAAACCCCCGTCCCTTTCCAAAGCCCGGAAGGGACAGAGCGGCTGACCGGGGACACCCCAGGACGGGAGCCAGAAGGAGCGCCGTGCCAGGGAGGAATCGCCCGAGAAGGACAAACCGGCGCTGGACCCAGGATCCCTGCTGCCCAGAGCCGTGTGGGACCATGAGTGCTGAAGCATGTGACCTTGCATTGGGAATAAGGAGGGAGGCTGTTAGCTAGTTAAGTGGGGAGGTGGTTGCTCTGTGCGGCTTTGCAGAGAGCTGCAGAAGAGGGCACCAGAGGGGTTTGTTGGGGTCTGGGGAAAGTTCACTGCGCCGGAGGTGACTGGGAGCACCCAGGACTCACCTCTGGACTGGAACTGTGCCCGGATCTCCTGAACTCTCAGCGGACACATTGCTCAGTGCCTGTCCTTTCAGACCGCTGGTACATGGGCCTGTGGGGCCTTGTGTTGGATATAACCCTGTTTTTCTCCATTCGTCCCTCTGTAAATAAATATTTCCCTTTCCTGTAGTCATTGGACTGCTCTGGATGTGTGGTGTCTTTACTCCAGGGGTGTGGAACAGGTGCCCACGGGGTGACAAGGAGTTTCCCGGCTGCGTTCCTGGAAGCATCTGTTCTTGGCCGGAGCTGCCTGCACAGCGGCCTCCATCTTGGCCACGAGGATGCCATAGTTAAAAATCGATCTCGTTATGCTGAGACAAATACCTAATGTAGATGCCAGGGTCACCGGAAGGGGGGGCCCGGGGGCCATGCCCCCCCCTTTTTACTGGCTGTAAGCATAGGTGCAGACTCCGTGGGTGCTCCGGGGCTGGAGCACCCACCGGCAGCCAAGCTCCCCCACCTCACCTTCCCCTCCCCTCCCGAGCGCGCTGCATCCCTGCTCCTCCACCTACCTCCCAGCGCATCCTGCCGCCAAACAGCTGTTTGGTGGCACTTAGGACTTTCCAGGAGGGAGGAGTAGGGACGTGGCGCGCTCAGGGGAGGAGGCGGAGAAGAGGCGGGGCAGGGGCAGGGAATTTGGGGAAGGGGTGGAATGGGGGCAGGGCGAGGGTGGTGCGGGGGTGGGGTCGAGCACCCACCGGGAACAGTGGGAGTTGGCGCCTATGGCCGTAAGAGCAAGCAACGGGGGTGGGGCAGAAGAGCGGGCCTGTTCTTGGGGAGACGATGCAGGAGCAAGGCCCCAGGGGAAGATGCGGGGTGGGGGCGGGGTCTCGGGGGAAGGGGCGGGGTCTCAGTGGGAATGCGCAGCACGGGGGCAGAATCTTGGGAAGGGGCGGGGCTTCCATGAAACTAGGCAATGTCAGGGCGGGGGCTCAGGGAGAAGGGGTGGTGTGCGGGCGGGGCCTTTGGGGGGCACAGCAGGGGGCGGGGCCACAGTCGGGAGCCTGTGGCCCCCTCACTTTTAGCACGCTTCTGCTGCTCCCGGCCCTTCAATGGTTTGTCTTCCTTCAATTGGTTTAAATCTACATCTACATTAGGAATTTTCACTAGGATCATGAGAAGATCAGTGTTAAAACTGAGTTAGTTACACTGCTACAACCTTTCTAATATAGACAGGCCCACAGATTAGCAATCCAGCACATTCCGCTTGTTCGCAAGCTGCTGGTGGATGCCTGAAAGTTGCCATTATCCGATGCGGCATGATCAGCAGAAGTCAGGATTGTGGTGCTGTAGCCAGGAAAGGGATGGCTAGGACGTCATTTCTCTGGCTCCAGCCCCGCAAACCTGCCTGCAAGCAGGGGTTTTCCCTGGAGAGTGGAGATGCTAGGGTTTTTTTTTTTTTTTTTTTCTAAACTGTCAAGCCGGTTGCCAATGGCCAGACCTTTATAGTCAACTGGACAGTACTGGTTCCAGGCAAAACGTAGTGAGGGTTGTTATTAAGCAGCGTCTACTGTAAATACATCTCGTTGCGTGTGGTTGCTTTTTCTGTGTCACTTTCCTGAAGAGGAGGGGGCATTCCAGCTAAATTTCCACATGGGAACTGGCTTCCTGGAAAATTCCCCTTTAGTTGGACTTTGGACAGGGGCAGTTCTCTTCTTTTCCAGTTGTGGTGGGTGAATAAATTCCCGTGTGTAATCTCTGTCTGTCCATTTTACTTTCTAAATCCCTTTGCCGTGCGGTGGCGGGGACGTGGTCCAAGTTTCTGAGGAAACGTGAGGTCGTTCATTACACTGTTAACGCCTCTCGGTGTGCGGGCCCGGCTGGGGAAGGAACTAAGGGTACAGACAAACAGCCAACCCTTGAAAATCGGGACTGTTACTGTCTCTTGATTTCAGTTTGGTCCAGTCGCTGCCAAGGGGAGAGGATCCGGCGCTGGGATCTCTGAAGTTGATTGCTGCCTCCGGACTGGACCCAATTGCAGCTAGAGAGGAACTGGTCAGAGCCCAGTGCCCACACCCCAGCGTTCATCTGTCTCGGTGAGAGAGGAGAGGTGACAAAAGGCGTGGATCCCATGGCTTTAGAGCAGTCGCTCAATGGAAGACAAGGTAACTAACGCTTGACTGAGTAGGAACAGCCTGGGGGCTACATCTATACTTAGGGTGTCCAGGTGCCTGGTTTTCAACTGGAAAGTCCAGTTGAGAAGGGGACCTGACAATGTCTGGTCAGATCTACTGACCGGCCATGCAAAGTCCGGTTACTGCTGGTGGGGGAGGCAGGGCGGCGCCGGGTCATCACCCGTGCCAGCCCCTACTCAGCCGGGGTCACCTCCTACCTGCGTCGGGCGGCTGCAGCTCCCAGCCCTGGCTCTGCAGGCGAGTTCCTCCCGACCCAGGAAGGGGAGAAGGGGGAATAAGCAGCAAGCAAGGGGGGAGGAGGGAAAGAGGAGCAAATGGGGGCGGGGCTTTGGGAGGGAAGAGTCGGGGCAGGGGCGGGGCCTCGGGGGAAGAGGTGCAGCTTTGGGCGAAGAGTCGGGGCAGGGGCGGGGCCTCGGGGGAAGAGGTGCAGCTTTGGGCGAAGAGTCGGGGCAGGGGCGGGGCCTCGGGGGAAGAGGTGCAGCTTTGGGCGAAAAGTCGGGGCAGGGGCGGGGCCTCGGGGGAAGAGGTGCAGCTTTGGGCGAAGGTCGGGGCAGGGGCGGGGCCTCGGGGGGAAGAGGCGGGGTGGGGGGAAGGTTCTGGCATACCTGCTAGAGTGTCTGTTTCTTAAATATTACAAAATTGGCAACCCTACCTATGCTGCCTTCTGGGGGTTGGCATCAAGAGTCCCGGGTCCCAAGCTTCTACACGCAGGCCCCCTGGTTTTTTCCAAGCACAGACATGAGACGATGGTTGTATGGTGGGATTTTGTGGCCTGGTGTGACCCAGGTCTGTTTGGTGTCGTGCCCTGTCCCCCGTCTAGTGGCATCTAAAGATCAATGAGTCTGCTACAGTCTTAGCTAAGAAGTATGTGGCTTTTAGTTCACGCAGTAGAGGCTCATACACTGAGCTTCACTGGTTCCAGGTTCGATCCCGCCTGCCAACAGACCGTATTCCACTTGCATAGTGTTCATATGACTGCATGGGTTTGTTCTTTCTCGCTCTGCTTTATGCTAAGGACAACTGAGCCAAGTTTTCCATTGCTGCACCTGCTTCACCCAGAATCCCACAGTGGGCATTGCTGAGACTAGCTATGTGCCGGGCAGGAGGGGAACTGGATTGCTTGTTTATGCAAACATCGGTTTCTGTAGACATACAGTAAATGCACACCTGCTCCTGTGGCTTCATCCGCCAGGGCCTCTGAAATGCTTCCATCAGGAATATTTTGACGTTGGTCTAGCATTCCGTTCCATGACTGAAGGGATTTCAAAGAAACCGTTAACTTCTGCCCAAAACAGTTTTCATTGAACGGACACAGTCATTTATTCAAACAGTACAACGGCCCCCTCCATCCAGGGGTCTTTGCACCCCTTACAAACAGCCAGAAATAATGCTGACCACCCACGTGGTGAGGTAGGGATCGTCCCCACCTTACCAAAAATGGGGAAACTGAGGACCTGGAGAGGTGAGGAGGAAAACTTTTAAAGCTTCCTCACTTTCAAAAGGAAGTTTGAAGACTTAGGAGCCTAAATGTCATTGATCCCCCCCTCCCCAGTGAAATTTAGGCTCCTCCGTATCAAAGTGAAGTTGGTTTTTAAAGGGGGTTTAAATTCCTAGAGCACTTGGAGTCAGTGTTTCAAAGGCAAGTAAGTGATTTGCCAAAGGTGATATGGAGTCTGTGGCGGGCTCAGATTGCTTGACTCTCAGTCCTATTTTGACTAGTCTGGACTGATAAAGAGTGATCAGTGCAGCCCCAAAACTGGGAGCGGGCTCATCTCCTTTCTGAGGATCCTGTGGATGTGGGAGAAGGGAAGGAAAATGCCCTTTTTTTTGCAGAAGTTTTGGTGGCTTAATTATTTTGGCTGGATGGAACTAACTTGAGAAATAGTCAGATGAGGCACCTTAGGGAAGCTAAAAGGAAACCATGCAGAAGGAAAGTCTTGTGGCTAATGCACAAGACTTGGAGTCATGCATCTGCTGCTGGCTTATTGTGATCCAGAGCAAGCTGCCCCTCCCTCTGCCTCGGTTTCCCTATCTGTGAAGTGGTGGCAATGATACCGCCTAGCAGGTAAGCAGATAAGCTCCATGATGGCAGAGGGCTGCGAGCATTGGAGGGAAGGAGCTGTGGAAGTGCAAAGTCAGTGACCCCTTGGGATTTCTCCAGAGTTTTCCGCTGCCTTCCACGAACCTAGGGTTGCCAACTCTGACTGAAGCTATTCTGGGAGTCGTCCCCCCCCCCAACATGATGTAATGTAGGTTTTTTTCAAATATCCTATTAAAATCTCTCTGATTGCTTCAATAGTCACTGGGAGATTGATGGTGATTCCAGGAGACTCCAGGCCAATCCTGGAGGGTTGGCAACCCTACGTGAACCTGGTTCCTTGTGTTAAATGTGGAAGCACCGACCTTTGGGTGTCAGACTGCGAGGGGCGCCGTACCAGGGGCACTTTCTCAGCAGCATTAATACTTTACCATCTGTTCCCCACCTGGGAAGCCAGTTGTCCTGGCGATGGGCCAGCTAATGGAATGCTACCTGGCCTCTGGCAAAATAAATGCCATCTGGTACCATGAACGGGTTTTGTTCTCTTTCAGGTGACTTGCTTCACCTTAGACACAGGAAACCAGTTGGGTGGAAAGTCCCCCTGATTGTCGGTGTTGTACTCACAGTCGTTGTTGTGATTGTTGCTGTTCCCATGATACTTTTGTCCGGTGAGTTGTCAGCCTTCACTGCTGTCATAAATAGAAAGGGAAGGGTAACAACCTTTATGTATGCCGTAACATCAAATCCCTCCTGGCCAGAGGTACAGAATCACTTACCTGTAAAGGGTTAATCATTTCCATTAACCTAGTTGGCACCTGACCAGAAGGACCAATGGGGAAAGAAGATACTTTCAAATCTGGGCGGGTGGAGGTTTTTGTTTATGCTCTTTTGTTGTGTGCCCTCTCGGACAGAGAGAGGGACCAGAGCAGGAAAAAACATCTCCTAAAAAGATCCTGAATTAAATTACAGAAATTGTAAGTAATAGCAAGGAAATGTATTAGAGTATCTTTTGTTTTAGCTTGTGAATTTTCTCTATGCTAAGTGGGAGGTTTATTCCTGTTTTGTAACTTTGAAGTTGAGCCCATAGGGGAATCCTCTGTGTTTTAAATCTTTTTATTACCCTGTAAAATCACCTTCCACCCTGATTTTACAGAGGTGCTTTTTACTTTTTTTTTTTTTTAATAAAGTTCTTCTTTTAAGAACCTGATTGGTTTTAGTGTCCTAAAAACCCAAGGGTCTGGTCTGTGCTCACCTTGTTACCCTATTGGTTGGTATATTATTCTCAAGCCTCCCCAGGAAAGGGGGTGAAAGGCCTTGGGGGGATATTTTGGGGGGCTAGAGCTCCAAGTGGCCCCTCCCTGAATGTTTGTGTAAATCACTTGGTGATGGCAGCAATACTGTCCAAGGACAGGGAAAGGAATTTGTGCCTTGGGGAAGTTTTTAACCTAAGCTGGTGGAATATAAGCTTAGGGGGTCTTTCATGTGGGTCCCCACATCTGTACCCCAGAGTTCAGAGTGGGGAGGGAACCCTGACAACTGCCCATTCCCCAGCCACAGGCTCTCTCCTAGGCGGTGTGAGGTGGGGAGGCATGTGGGGTCATATGCCCCCACTCAGATTTCTGTCGGGGTGCATGGCTGAGAGGGACATGCCTGCGAAAGGCACCAGCAGCAAGGCTCCCGCCGAGCCCCACTCGGTGACACCCAGAGCAGGGAAGCGAGACGGGGCTGGCAGCCCAGAGTACAGAGAAGCCGGGTGACTCGCATCCTTCCTCGCCAGCCAGCAGCTGCAGTTACCAAGTCTGTTTTGGCTTGAAATTACATGTATGCGATGCTTCCGGCAACCGCCTCTGCTGGTCCCTTTGGTTACCCCCCCCCCCCAATACTTTCCACAGAGAAGCTAGCTTAAAACAGCCCTTCTGGCTGAAAGTGTTTCCCTAGCTCATGGGGACGGTCCCTCCACGGGAAGGCTTAGGAGACTCCTGGGATCAGATTTTAAAATGCTCCGGGCCAGATGTTCAGGACCCAACGGGCCGAGCCCTTTTGAAAATCCAGGGGCTCCTTTTGGTGTGTCAGTGGGAGCTGAGTGTTTGTGCAGATCTGGCCCTGAAAGCTTCTGAAACGTCCGGCAGCTGCGCAGAAGGGCTGCCGGAAGAGGACGGCAGACAACTGTACTAGACCAGAGGACAAGTCAGCCCTGAGCAAACAACCAAAGCGCCTTTAAACCGGCAAATCTGGGCTTGCACCTGGTACGTGACCCATTTCAATGTTAATTGATTTGTGGGCACAGAAAGGTGCTACCCACGATCCACAAGGTGGCATGTTTATCAGCTTCCTCCAGCTTCCTCCCTTGAGTTTAGGAAAAGCAAAATCTCTTATCACTAAAAGAAAAGGAGGACTTGTGGCACCATAGAGACTAACCAATTTATTTGAGCATAAGCTTTCGTGAGCTACAGCTCACTTCATCGGATGCATGCATCCGATGAAGTGAGCTGTAGCTCACGAAAGCTTATGCTCAAATAAATTGGTTAGTCTCTAAGGTCCCACAAGTCCTCCTTTTCTTTTTGCGAATACAGACTAACACGGCTGCTACTCTGAAACCTCTCTTATCACTGTTACTCTCTTAACTTCAGTGAAATCTCCACCCGAATCCAAGCTGCCTCATGTCTCCACCCCAACCCAGCTAAATGCAAAACGCCCTACTGCCTGCTGCCCGGATGGCTGGGTCGGGTTTCGAGGGAAATGCTATTATTTCTCTGATACTGAGGGGATCTGGGACTCCAGCCAGAGCCTCTGCTCTTCACTCAATGCCTCCCTGGCTGAGATCGACACCCAGAAAGACCTGGTAAGGGAAAACGAAAAATAAAACGGGTATAGACACCAAGCGGCATGTTGGTATGATCTTGTCCCAGGGTTCCTTCTAGTGCTCTTGTGAGGAACAAATCAGCTGGAACAAAAGCTCTGGCAGCTGAACCCTCAACTCAGATAGATACAAATATTCATATATTTTAAAAAATCCAGCCGTGTTAATTAGAACATTAGAACGGCCATACTGGGTCAGACCAATGGTGCATCTAGCCTAGCGTCGTGTCTCGGATGGTGGCCCTTACCAGAGCTTCAGGGATAGGGTTCAGCACAGAGAATTTCTGGAGTGACCCACCTCTGTCTTCCACTTCCAGCTTCTGGCAGTCAGAGCTTTAGGGTCGCAAGCCTGGGTTTGCGTCCCTGACCATCTTGGCTAATAGCCATTGATGGGACTTCTCTAGTTCTTAATGGTGATTTGCAAAGGGTTTTTAAATAAATTTGGACTTGGGTCCCAATAAATCTTACTCCGTCTCTGAGGACACTAGATGGGGAATGCTGTGAGTTACTACCGAGAATTCTTTCTCAAGTATCTGGCTGGTGGGTCTTGCCCACTTGTTCAGGGTCTAAATAATCACCATCTATTGGGTCGGGAAGGAATTTTCCTTGTGGGTCAGATTGGCAGAGACCCTGCAGGTCTTCTTGCCTTCCTCTGCAGCATGGGACATTTGCACGTTTAAACTAGAGTAAATGATTCTCTGTAAAGTGAAGTCTTTAAATTATGATTTGAGGACTTCAGTAACTCAGCCAGAGGTTATGGGTCTATTACAAGAGTGCCTGGGTGAGGTTCAGTGGACTGTGATGTGCCAGAGTTCAGACTAGATAATCATGGGGGTTTCTTCTGGCCTTAAAGTCTGAGTCTTGCAGACAAGTGCTATCTGCCCCAGTCCCCCCACAGATATCCGCCCCAGTCCTCCCACCAGATACCTGCCACTGTGCCCAACAATGTAAGCATGTTAGCTGGATGTTGCTATAAAAACATTTAGCAGCAAAATAGTTAACGTTGAGTTCGCCATCACTAGGTTTCAGAGTTAACAGGGGTGGAGCTGAAGTGTGCAGTTCATCGCTAATGTTTGAGATTCTCTGCAGATTCAGGGACCATCTACACTAGGGTAGCGATTTGTTTCAGGCAGCAGATCCCCTTGAAGTGGTGACTGAAAATAGCTTAACCGTTTCAACAGCATTACAGACTATAATGAATAAGGTGCTTTTTTTTTTTTTTAAAGAACTTCATTATGCGATACAAAGGCCCCTCTGAGTACTGGATTGGCCTGAAGCGAGTATCAGCGCAGCTCTGGCAATGGGTGAATGGCGAACAGTTCAACAACCTGTGAGTCCTTTTCTAGCTAGTCACGTTGTTGGGTTCCGAATGGGAAAAGGGCTGCATTCAGGCAGGTAAAAAAATTAGTTATTCCCAAAACATGGGTCACTTTTCTCCTTCGTGACATTTCCCCGGGTCTTTGGGGCTCATCCCCCATCGCTGACCTAGCAGATCAGCAGGCTGCATGCCCTTCCCCAGGCTCCAACCCTCTAATGTGCGGCTTAGGTGGAAATGAAAGACCCAGGTATTTTTCTGAAAAGTTCAGTGGGGATTTAAGCCCAGATTTTAAAGGTACTTCAGCATTGCAAAGCCGAAATAATTTTAGGAACATGAGTCACTTTCAGAAGTGACTTAGGCTCAGAGGCGGATTAAGGTTTTGTGGGGCCCTGGGCCAGATCAAGTGGGGGCCCCTCCCCACCCCTTCCGCCTGCAGTCCCGCCCGGCCCCGCCAGCGCTCTTGCTGGGGAAATGAGGTCAGGGCGCGGGGGCTTGCCTCGCTCTGCCCGCCTGGCGCTCCTGCTAGGGAGTGAGGGGAAGCCCCCACACCCTGACCCTGCTCCCTGGCACGAACATTGGGCAGGTGGGGCAGGGCACAGGGGTGCCTCAATTTGCAGGGACCCCTAGGCAAGGGCCTCATTGGCCCAGTGGCTAATCTGCCACTGCACAGGCTCCTAAGTCACTTGGGCCTCGCAATGCTGAGCAGAGGAGCAGTGCCTAAATAACTTTCTGGAGCTTAGCCCTTCCTCCTCCTCCCTAGCAAAAAACAGTAGGAAGAGAGTCTCCAGTGCCCATGCTGAGTTAATGCCAATGGCTGCTGATGAGGAATCTGGCAGGACAATCCCTGAGGTCGTAGCTATGCTGCAGAAATAACCACGTTTGTGACCCAGCTACGTTAAAAGGTGTCTTGCATTGCCAGTGTGGACAAAAGATAGTTCCTTAACCCTACTGGAGATCAGCATTTTAGTCTCTTCCTCCCCACCCTTCTTGCCAGGAAGAGTTCGAGTGGAATGAGTGATGCAGGAAGGGGGCGATCCTGAGGGGTTTCACTGGATGGGCCCGTCCGATGGGGCACATGCCCGGCCCCTGCCAGACTCTAATCACCAGGGCGTCTCCGTCGCAGGTTTACGGTAAGAGGAGAAGGCGACTGCGCATACCTGAGCGACGGCTTTGCCACTTCGTCGTGGTGCTCCACGAAGCGCTACTGGATCTGCAGCGAACCCGACGGGATGCGAAGGGAGGACGCAATGCCAGGGGACTGAAGGGCGAAGCCTGGGGAAACGCCTCCAGACCCAGCTGCCTTACACTCCAAACATCGCTCAAGAAGATCCTTGATAGAGCTTGACAGTTGTTTTTTTTTTTTAATAAGCCTCTCTTCTGATTTTCTCTGTGTTGTGGCCCCTGTATAATCCTCTCCTTCCTGGTTGTGTACTAAGACCTGGTCTACACTTAAAGCTTAAAACTCACTCCTGAATGCTGTAGTTAGGCCGACGTAACCCCCAGTGTAGTCGCAGCTAAGTTGCCCTCGCTACCGTCACTTGGGAAGGCAGAGTTCTTACAGTGATGGAAAACCCTCTTCTCCCATGGTAGGAGATATCTATGCTCTGGGGCTATGCCAGCGTAGTCCGCCGCCATGTCCCCATACCGTAGATACGGATAAAACCCCTTCCCAGCTTCCACTGCTGCTGTCTGTCAGGGGGTGTCTACACCTCAATGAGGGTACGTGGGGGTTACGCTACCCACCCAAGTCTTTACCCAGGGTTCCAGCCTGCGCAGCTGCGGCATCATTGCTCCAGTGCTAGCTGGATTAAAATTAGCTTGTGTACGTCTACATTAATTGCAGCCAGACCCTGTGCTTGCAATGTAGACGTACCCGCAGCTCTGCTGGGCCGGCTGGACGGGGAGGCAGCACAATCGAAACAATCTTAAATAGCAACAGGGTAAGAAAATCCACAGCAAGCAGAGATGTGAAACACAACATCCTCCCAAGGGAAGGAAGCTGCGGCAAGACACAAGCAGCCAGGCTGTGGGTTTTCTTCGGCGGTTGCAGAGCCAGGCTCCATTCGCTCATGCTGTCTCCCGACACCGAGCAACAAAGTTGTAAGTTAAAGCTAAATGGGACCGGGATCTGAACTCCCCAAAAGGCCCTTTGTTGATGCTCTTTCAGAGCTACCTCCTGCATAGGGTCGACTGGGGTGTGTTGTCTCCCGGATCAAAACGTAGTTATTCCATCTTTGATGGAGAGTCTCTGTTGTGGAGCCAAGAAGATAATTAAGGAGGGCCAGAAATGAGAGGCAGGTTCAAATGGAAATCGAAATGTCTGTATGTTTGAGAGTGTTAGGGCCTTGCTGGGCTTATTGAGACTGGAAAGGGAAGGCCAGGCATGCGTGCCAGAAGTTGATAACTAGCGAGGTGAGCTAGCAGCACAGGTAGAGAGGCGGCTGCGGAGATGCCGAGGAGCGGCGTTTGCCCTCGTGAGAAGGCAGCCGGTTTTGTACTCTGTAGTAGCAATGCGTCACCAGTGCGTTCCAGTGACAGGAATTTGCCTACAAACTCCTAGGCAGAGCAAATGCCTTTTACTTTAATTGAGGCCTCTTTACGAGTTCCAGGCAGAGAAGCTGGAAGCGCGGCTCCCGGCACTCTGAGCCTGTCCACACTGGCGCTTTAAAGCACTCAAACTTGCTGCATTCGGGGGGGGTGGGGGGGGGCAGTGTTTTTTCACACCCCTGAGCCAGGAAGTTAGAGCGCTTTGTTTTGCCAGTGTAGACGTGGCCTTAGATAAGTACAAAGGTCAACGTGGTCAAACCCTAAGACGTAGAGTTTTTAGATGCTGTAAGGTTCATTTTTTAAGTGTTGCTTAAGAGTTTAATTCCCCTTGGACTCCTTTGCAAGCCAAGTTACGAGTACTTTTGTGGAGGACAAGATGTGTATTTTCCCCTAGTTTGGGTATTTTGTAGCTGCATCGTCTGTTCAGACCATGGGAGGCTGAATCTAAATAATTGAAATGTGGAAAGTCTCACAACTCATGAAAATTAATCGGGTGATGCCATGGAGTGTTCACCTCTTTAACGATTTGCTGTTCACTACTTTTGTTTTATGAAGTTTGATATGACTTAGTCATTCCTATAAGCTAACTGTAAAAGAAAAAAGCACCTTATTTTTCCTTCTGTTGTAATTTGCTCATAGTCATTGCTCATAAAGTTTCAGGCTGGGGGGTACCTCTTGTTTTGTTTAATCTGTCTCCCCTCCTTCTCACTTAGAGACAATGGAGTATTTTCTAACGAAAAGTTTGTCAGAAAATAGGTCTTCGTTGAACATGAATGGATGAAACTTCATTTTCAGTGAGTTCATCTTTTACGTTTTCTGAAGTTGTTTTTTTTTTCTTTTAATTTATTATCAAAACCATTTCAGGGGGAAGCCCAACTTTTCCAGAATTTTGTAAATGTCTTGAACTGTGGAGTTTTTTTTCATTCTTCTCTCCACTGTCTGGCTGCCTTCCAACTTTTGCCAGGCGGAAACGAGTAAGAGCGTTTCCGAAAGTAATGCTTTGTGTTCAATTAACCTTTCAAAGTGAAGGTGTTCCTTAAAAAAACTACAGGAGTACTTGTGGTACCTTAGAGACTATTGCTCAGATAAATTGGTTAGTCTCTAAGGTGCCACAAGGACTCCTGCGAATACAGACTAACACGGCTGCTACTCGACCTTAAAAAACTACCCCCTTCACAGACCCATACAAACCCTTTCTCACTCACTGTCTCCAAAGTGGAAGAAATTGGGAATGAATAAAAACATGTAAGTGGGGAAAGAAGTTTTGCACTTAAATTGTTCCATTAGGATGTTTGAAAGGGGATATTTTTTTCCTTGTGAAAACTTTTGTAAGGCAAAATGCTGCTTTTCCAGCTAGCTCTAGTCTTTATTGTTGTTGGTCTCCTCTTATGTATTGGTTTATTTTTATTTTTTCCCCTGACCCAATGCCATCTGCTGGGCTGGAGAAGATACTGCAATGTTGTCTAGGTTTATTTCAGAGCGCCCTGATCTGCTGTGTAGAGACCAGGGCTGGGAGGATCAAGGTGGATTTGAGCCTAGCTGGGTGGCTCTTCCAGGCGATCCCAGTATGGAAATACCCACTGCAAGCATTAAAATAGGGGGGAAGCTAATATACCAATCAGCGATACAAACTCAATACAGGGATTATTATACAGATTTAATGTGCCTAGCTCTGTGACTACTTGTACTTGTAATTAAAATAATTATTCAACACTCAGATGCCTGTGTTCAAGAAGATCTGTCCTCTCAGTCATACTTTCACATCTGCGCCTGCGAAGTGCAGCTCTGCGAGGTTTCCATTTGTACGTGTGTTTGCATGCGGACAAGTTCATTCTGTGCATGCACATGCCCCATGGGGGGTGCTGTTTCTCTTGTGTATTTCTAAAGCGTCCCAGCACTGACAGAGTGGAGGGTGGCGTTTTTGCAGGCCCTCCACCTTTGAGAACTTTACCCTAAGCCCGAACCTTAGTCCTGTGTTTCCCTTAATCAAATAGGAGATCTGTTAATGCCATTTAGATAGGACAGCTTCCCTCTGGCAAATACACTTAACATCACCACTGCACATTTCACTATGAATCTGATTCTCCTTCCACACCCGACATCCAGAGCATGGGGTTGCATCCCTGACCATCCTGGCTAATAGGTCCATCCATGTCTATCTTCCATGAACTTATCTAGTTCTTTTTGAACTCAGTTATACTTTTGGCCTTCACAACATCCTCTGGCAAGGAGTTCCACAGGTTGACTGTTTCCTGTGTGTAAAAATACTTCATTTTGTTTGTTTTAAATCTGCTGCCTATTAATTTCATTGGGAGAGCTCTGGTTCTTATGTGAAAGGGTAAATAACGCTTCCTCATTGACTTTCTCCACACTGCTCATGATCTTATAGACTTCCATCCTCTCCCATCTTAGTCGTCTCTTTTCCAGCCCCAGGCTTTTTACCCTCTGCTCATATGGCAGCTGTTTCACACCCTTCATCAGATTGATCATATCTGCATTACCACGCACTGTCACACGGCAGCTGAGATAAAGCCAGCTTCCTGTGGGTCAGCCTTTGCTGATGTGTGGGAAGCCCGTTTTCCATCTGCTCGCCTTCGAGCCAGCGCTGATTGGCCGGTGTTCTCTGGTTGCTTAACTCTGGGTGCAGCCCACCCTTCCTGTGTAAAGAACCGCTGGTGGGGGAAAGACAGTGCTGCAGTTTCCTGCCTGGATGTAGGCCCCAGCTCAGTCTGTCTGCAGGGGAGTTTGCTCCCTTGCTTGGGGGGCTCCAACACTGGGATCCACAGAGAGATGTGCTGATGTCGGCCGATCATCTGGCAGCCATGCACAGAAGCTAGATACCCTGATCCATCAGTCCCAGGGCTTTCTGTCTCTCCTCTCTTCACCAGCTTCCTGGCAGTCCAGCTCCCCCAGATGTGGGTGTAAGAGAAACACACGACTGATCTGGGACCATCCCCATCCCCAGTGTGACCCTACTGAGGTCAGCAGCGTGGTGCAAAAGATTAATGCATCAACTGAGCTAATTAATTGATGGATAGATTTACGCCAGAGGTTATTTGAATCCCTGCAGTGTAATAAGTTTGATGCGGATTTCCTAGCCTCCGGGGACTGCACTGGGGCAGAAGAGGTAGAAAAAGGCTAATGAAGGCCCACTCAGTCCAAACTGAGACAGCCAGAGGGGGATGATTAAAAGGAAGAGCCTTGCTCACCTGCAGGCAGAGAGAGCAGATCTGAGGCTGAACTCGATCTCCCAGAGAAGAGGTTAAATTTCTGTTACTTCGTGCTGGCTTTGGGCGTGGAGTGCCCCAGAAAGGGGAGAAGTTCGGTAAGTGGCCCAGCTAGAGAGCGAGGTCTCTGCAACCCAGTCAGTGGTGGAGGATTGGGGGAGAAGCCCAGCTGGGCCGCTGAGGCTGAGGGCCTCACAAGGGGGCGCTCTAGTAAGGACATGCTATAACACAAACTGCATTTGGTCCTGGCGTGAACGCGTGAGACTCCCCATAGAGGGAATGGCAGTGGGGCACGCTCGTGCTAGGGCAGCCCTGGGCTTCTAACGCTGCAGATGGAGGGTGTGAACTAAGTTTAAGGCACTGTACACCCCGCTGTTAGGACTTGCTTTCCAATAGCAGCCAGAGCAGACTCACAGACTAAAAGCGTGTAATATTGACACCTAGCGGCCAGGAGACATTTGCTCTCCCTCTGCTAAATGGTGATGAAAGATATTGGGCGTTAGGACACGAGCCCAGCAAGGCTAGTCCAATATTCTGCTCGGGGGGGGGCGGGGGTTTGCAGAGCGAACCTAGGGGAGAGGTTTGCATTTGAGACCCCGGAGAGCTAAAGCCAATGCTCACTCCACAGCACGTTGGAGCTTCTGAAGAAGCCAGGAAGGTTCCCCATGGGTTAAAAAAATTCAGACAGCTGTGATTTATTATTACATGTGTTGCAGTCACACCAAGTCTTCAGCAGAGATCAGTGCCCCCCCCCCCCCCCCCCGGTGCAAAGATAAATGAGACACACTCGCTCGGCTGCATAGCTTACAACCTACAGAGATCAGAGGGGTAGCCGTGTTAGTCTGGATCTGTAAAAGCGGCAGTTGTCCTGTGGCCCCTTATAGACTAACAGACATCTTGGAGCATAAGCATGCATGCATCTGAGGAAGTGGGTATTCACCCACGAAAAAGCTTATGCTCCAATACTTCTGTTAGTCCATAAGGTGCCACAGGACTCTTTGCCAATCTACATAGACACTTTTTCACAGACAAGAGGGACAGGGGAGAGAGGCACAGAGATAAATACAATAATAAAACCGCTTTTGTCATAAATATAACGGGAAGGATAAACACCTTTAAAATCCCTCCGGGCCAGAGGAAAAACCCTTTCACCTGTAAAGGGTTAAGAAGCTAGGATAACCTCACTGGCACCTGACCACAATGACCAATGAGGAGACAAGATACTTTCAAAGCTGGAGGGGGGGAGAAACAAAGGCTCTCTCTGTCTGTGTGATGCTTTTGCCGGGAACTGAAAGGAATGGAGTCTTAGAACTTAGTAAGTAATCTAGCTAGAGATGCCTTAGATTCAGTTTTGTTGAAATGGCTGGTAAAATAAGCTGTGCTGAATGGAATGTAGATTCCAGTTTTTGTGTCTTTTTGTAACTTAAGGTTTTGCCTAGAGGGATTCTCTATGTTTTGAATCTGATTACCCTGTAAGGTATTTACCATCCTGATTTTACGGAGGTGATTCTTTTACTTTTTCTTCTATTAAAATTCTTCTTTTAAGAACCTGATTGCTTTTTCATTGTTCTTAAGATCCAAGGGTTTGGGTCTGTGTTCACTGATGCAAATGGGTTAGGATTTTTATCAAGCCTTCCCCAGGAAAGGGGGTGTAGAGTTTGGGGAGGATTTTGCGGGGAAAGACGTTTCCAAGTGGGCTCTTTCCCTGTTATATATCTGTTAGACGCTTGGTGGTGGCAGCAATAAAGTCCAAGGGCAAAAGGTAAAATAGTTTGTACCTTGGGGAAGTTTTAACCTAAGCTAGTAAAAATAAGCTTAGGGTGTTTTCATGCAGGTCCCCACATCTGTACCCTAGGCCAATCTACATAGAAACTTTTTCACAGACAAGACGGACAGGGGAGAGAGGCACAGAGATAAACACAATAATAAAACAGCTTTAAAACAATTAAAATCACATTTACGTATGATTAAGGCTACGATTCTGTCATGGGTATCTTTATTAAAAGTCACAGACAGGATGCAGGCAATAAACAATAAATGATGGATGTCCAAACCCCACTGCCTGGGGTTGAATTACTGGAATGTTCAAGAAGTCATGGAGGGCTCATAAAAAAAAATAAATAAAAATCACAGCATCTGTGACCTCCGTGACAGACTCGTAACCTTACTTATGATAGCAAATATTACAAGGGAACATAAAGGTCTAGTCAGGGCCCCATAGTGATGGGGGACACGCACACACAGTCCCTGCCCCAAAGTGCTTATAATCTAGACAGAGGAAGATCTCATTTTAAAGATGGGGAATCCAACCCCAATGGCTGGATCTAGGTGCCCGGTTACAGGACCGGCTACAGCCGAGCTGGGAGAAGGAAGAGAAAAGGGACAATTGCAATAGGCCGGATTGTAAAACAAACCCGGACGGATCCCCCCACACGCAGGCTGGAAGAGAACCAGGCTTTGGAGACCAGCAGGCTGTTCAGAGGGACACTGGACTAGCTTGAAATAGAGACAGATCATTAGAGCCCTGAGCGGATACAAACATTTGGATTCGCATCGTAATTAACTTGTAGCCGACCCGCGATCCGCACTCCACCTTTTAAAGTCTTTTGTTAGTCTCTACGGTGCCACAAGTCCTCCTTTTCTTTTTGCGAATACAGACTAACACGGCTGCTATTCTGACACCTTTTATAGGTATCCACAGCAGCACCCAATCTCCCTGTCAAAGGCTTGCACGGATAGAAAAATCCAGATCCACAGCTGATCCGCAAAGATAGTAAACAACCACATCCGCGGATATCCAGTGGATTGTCCCTGGATTTGCAGGGCTGGACAGATCATCACACACTAGCTTCTCTACAACTCCCCTCTCCAACAGTGGCCAAGGACAGGTGAAACAGACACGTGCTCAAAGGAAAAGGCAAAACGAGTCAGAGAAACCATGTTGGCGGGGGCAGGAGGGATAGAGAGCAGCTACCTTTCAGTTTTACCCATTTTCAGGGTGATTTGCAGCTGTACAAGCTCCCAGCCCTGTAAACACCAGGCCACATAAGTAACTCTGCTCACTTGGGTCCCCGTCTTCTGATCAGCTGTGCAGAGCTGGGCTCCCAGCAGACACCAGTGTCCCTAAACACCGATCTGGCTGCCCTCTGGGGGTAGTTCCACACCACAAGGGCTTCCTGAATCCAACCCACCTCTGGGGCAGCGTTTTTCAGACCAAGACGGTTTTCCAGGTCATCTGCTTGCCTCCCCCTCCTGCCCAGAGCCAGGGACAGAACCCAGGAGTCCTGATTCCCAGTGCCCCCTGCAGCTCCAAAAGCAGAGGTTTTCTTCTAGTTCCAGTCCTCACTAAGAAGCTGCTTTGCTGGCCAGCAGGGAAGCGCCCATGCAAGCTGGTGGAACTGAATGAGAAATCCTGCGTTTAGAGATTGCCTTTCACTGAGGCTTAGAGGCCAAGGAAAAGCCTGGGGGATGTATTATCAAAGACAGCAGC